CCTTGCAATGCTCGAAGGAGGTGACGCAACTCCGACGTGGTGGCGTCAACTTCGTCGAACTTCGGCAGACCTTGGATAAGGTTGCTCTCTTGTACCATGGTACTTCCTTTCCCGGAATGATAGTCCGCCCGTCTAGATAATCCATCTGGAAGACTTGCCTGGGTTCCTGGCCGATAAACCATTTTAAACCTGAAGTTAGCTAGCTCCTCTACCCACCTACCTTGCCGAGGACTGAGTTGTTTCGGTTCCATCCAGTAGGTAAGGTTTAGATGGTCGGTAAGTACTGTGGTTTCCACCTGCAATAATAAGTGTCTCCTTCTTCTGAAACCCTCCACTACAGCGAGGAACTCCTTTTCTCCTACCGTATAATTCAGTTGAGCTGTGTTGAAAGCACCAGACTCAATAGCTACCGGGTGTTCTTGACCAGCCGTGTTGATCTGCGAAATTATGAACCCCCAGCCGAAGAACGACGCATCTGTCTGTAATATCGTCTTCAATGTAGGGTCAAAATGGGCTAACACCGGCGCAGTACACATCCTAGCCTTCAACTCTTTGAAGGCTGACTCCTGTTCGACTCCCCATACAAATGGTACCTCCTTCCTTGTCAAGTCATTGATAGGTCTAGCAATCTTCGAGAAGTTGGGGACAAAGCGCCTGTAGTAGCTTACAACTCCAATGAATCCCCTTGACTCTCGTAGATTCTTAGGACGTGGGAAGGAAGTGATGGCATCAATGTATTCTGGGTTCACCGATACACCTTTAGAGGATACCACGAAACCCAGAAACACCACCGAATCTCTTTCGAACTCGCACTTACTAGCTTTCACGTACAGGCTCGCCTTCCGCAGTACCTCAAAGACCTTCGCCGTAGTTCCTCGTAATTCCTCCAACGTATTCCCATAAATGAGGATATCGTCAATGTAGACCACGACTCCATTCCCTAGTAGCTCTCTAAACACCTCATTTAGGAAGTGTTGGAAGACCGCGGGGGCGTTTCGCAGCCCATCACGAACAACCAGAGATTCAAACATACCATACTGTGTCCTGAACGCCGTCAGGTGTTCATGTCCCTCTGTCACCCTCAACAATTGGTATGCTCCAATTAGATCTAGTTTGCTGAAATACCTTGCTTTTCCAAGTTCTTCGGTAATTTGACCTATTAGAGGGAGAGGGTAGGCATCTGGTATGGTCGCTTCATTCAGTTTTCGATAGTCGATGACCATTCGCCATTGTCCTTCGGCTTTCTTCGGTATCATAAACATTGGTGAGCCGTATGGCGAGTTACTTGCCCGAATTCGGCCAGCGGCGATTTCGCGATCTAGTATGTCTCTCAGCGCGCGTCTCTGATCTTCTCCTTGAGCATAGAGGGAGGCGACCTTAAGGTTCCCCCCCTCCTTAAGCTCAAACTTCAAATCGTAGGACCTTGAAGGGGGAAGGGTCTCTCCTCCCTTCTTCGGATTAAAAACGTCAATGTACTGGTGGTATTGTTCAGGAACTACCTGGAACAACTCGTCTTGTTCCTCCGGGCTCAGCTCTTCAAGCTCATCTTCGCCGCGGCGGTCTATCGCGTCCGTCAGAGTCGGCAGCCCTATGGCCGCTAACTTCGCCGCACTTGGTGGGGTTGGGATGGGAAATTTCACCGAGTTGTCTCTTCCATCAAGGACAACCCCTTCCTTCCTCATCCAATCCCACCCTATCACAACATCTGCGTCGCAGAGCGTTGTTACATCGAGACAAACAGATCGCACTTCGGCGTCCTTCGTCAAACTAAATCCGACTTCGACAAACTCGGTGATGGGTCCAGCGACACTCACCGAGCCGTCGAACATGTGAACGGGTACGCTCACCTGATATTGTCTCCTTTCCGCGCCTATCTTCGTCGCCGCTCTAGGACTTATATATGAACAAGTAGCCCCGGTGTCCCAGAGCGTAGTTAGCTTCATTCCATTAATGAAAATGTCCGATTTAGGTTGATCTCTGGAAACGGAAGGGATGAGGAGATGATCATCGACATTGCATGAACAAGGGGTACTGAGTGGTGTATTTTTGTATTCACAATCCTCTGGCTCCATCAGCTGTGTTTCTTTTATGGGTTTGGGAATGGTGGCCGAGAGAATATGGCGGACCCGCCGAGCCTCGCCTACTGCGACAGGTCCTCTTCTTTTCCCTGGTCCTCTTCCAAATTTACTTCTCCTCCAACCGCATTCAAGTTCCTCCTCTGTCCGAGAGGTACTGCGTTCCCTCCCGATCCTCCACCACGTTCTCCGAACTTCTCCCCCCATGGAGGCAACAGTCCAACCTTAACCTTAGCCTCCCTTACAGGGCATTCCTTCAGCCAATGTCCTGCTTCACCACACTCGGTACACTTCCCCTCCTTCCTCCTTGTCTCCCTCAGATCGGAGCTCGGCCTAGGCCATCTTCGGCGAACTTCGTCGATGTTTGGCGGTGTACTCTTTACCACCGTCGACCTCATAGCCGCCTGGGCACCACCCTGCGCCGAAGGTTGCCCCTTTTCCCATTTCTTCTCTTCTTTCTTCTCCGTCCTCTGACCTTCCACCACTGTCGTTGTCCTTATCCCTCCTTCCCTTTTCCTCTCTGCCTCCTTCTCCACTTGTCTCCTCCACAGGCGGTTGTCCAAGGGAATCACAAACTCCAATAGCTCTTTTACAGTCCCAAACGATCTACCGTGTCTTGCGATTTCATCTAGAAGGTGCGATTTTAGTCCTTTCTTGGCTCGGTCAACTAGGTTTCCATCATCAGACCACTTGAGAATCGCAACATGTCGCTGAAAGGCGGAGAAGTAGTCCGAAGCAGACCCGGTTTGCTTGAGGTCGTTAAGTTGTCGGGCCGCAGTTCCTTCTTCGTCTGGATCACCAAAGTTAGTCTTGAGGTACTTAACGAACTGATCGTGTGTCGTGAGGTACTCAGGAAGAGGTCTTTTGGATAGATCGGGCTGCACTGCAAGAAGAGGTGTTTCGCGTAGATGAGAGATCATGAAAAAGACTTTCTTAGTGTCGTCGGGGAAAAGGTGAGAGTTCAATTCGAAGTGTACGTCGCACTCAGACAGAAAGGCGGTTAACTTGTTCCGATCTCCTCTCCATAGGTCTGGGTTAGGTAGCTTTATCCCTTTCCGTTGTTCGCCCACTACGCTTGGGGTCGCCGAAGTTTGCCGTCCCATGGCGTACCTCACCCCTTCTGATATCCCTTCTGCAATCCCGCCCACTGTATCCCTTTCTCTTCTCTGTTCCCATTCCTCCCTACGTCTTCTCTCCTCCATCATGTCTTTGTTCATATTCGCCACCATCTGCATCAAGGCCAACACCACCCCTTGTGTTCCTTCTTCTCCCAAGTTCGCCGTACTTCCAGTGTTTTCTCTTGGGCGTGGGGTTTGGTCTGATCCAAGTGGGGATCCCACAGGTGGGAGAGCATTAGACGGAGGAGAAGGAGGGTTAGAAAGCACCGGTGGAACGAACTCATCTCCTTGAATTGACCCCCCCACACTATCCTCAACTCCAAGGTCCTGCCCCATTGCTCTGCTAAGCTCCTCCAATGCTCTCCTCTCGTTCTCCTCCATCCTGTCTCCATCCCTACTCATGCCTCGTGTAATTCTTCTTTCTGGTTCCATATTATCTTCGTACTTCTCCGAGGTTCGCACGGGTCGTCGGTAAGAGCGATCCTTGATACTGTCACGGCCGTCGAACAACTACTTCTTAATAGACCGACGGTCGACGAACCTCGGCTAACTTCACGCTCTGAGTCGATGTCTCACCCAACCAGGAGGGCGCAGACGTCGAAAGGGGTGTAACTACGGCGTACTTCGGCGTAGTTACTCTAACTAGGGTTTTGATCTACTGATGGCGATGTATCTTGATTTATAGCTATCTCTATCTGTCTTTTACTACTGACAACAATCAAGGATCGCTGAAGAACTTCAGCGATCTTCTCAGCTAATATTATCTACTCCTCCTAGACGTTCATCCAACCCTCTCGCGCTTTGACGTACTTCAACGCACTTCGTCCAACTTCCCCGAGCCCTCGGCCATCCTCTTCCTCCTTCGACTAACTCCGCCTAACATCGCCGCACTTCTGCTCCCATTGTCCCTACTTAGCCTAACTCCGCCTAACATCGCCGCACTTCTGCTCCCATTGTCCCTACTTAGCCTAACCCCGCCTAACATCGCCGTACTTCTGCTCCCATTGTCCCTACTTAGCCTAACCCCGTCTAACTTCGCCGTACTTGGTGTCAGAAGTCCTGAGTTACGTGTAGAGTAAAGAGGTTAAGGCGTGATGGGGTTTTGATGGCCAAAGGAGGGTCATTGTTGGTGGAGTAATCGAGGTGTCACGACGTAGTTCGTGACAATGTGATCCCCCCCTTTAAACAGGAAATTTCACTTTCGGACCACTTTCGGACCACTTTCGGGCGTTTCGGACGCTTTCGGACGCTTTCGGACGCTTTCGGACGCTTTCGGACGCTTTCGGGTCCGAAAACGCATTTTTCAGAACTATCAATATGCATTCAATATGCATGATACACCTGATCTCTATGCATTTTATGCATCCTGAACTCTGTAGGATCATTCTACATGTCTTACATCTTCAGAATCTGCAATATTGATGAAGTGTAGGGATTTGGGTGAGTAGTGACAGGATTTGGGTGACTTGTGGAGGGATTTGGGTGGATTGTGACTGGAAATGGGAGAAATGGCCAAATTTCCGTCGGGATTAATTCGAGGTCCGTCGGGATTATCCCTACGCGCCAAAGTGGAGGATCAGCATCGTCTTCCACGTGGTCACATCTCTACAACTACGGCTGAGTAGTGAGTAGTGACGCTTCAAGTAGAATAGTATGGAGAGGAGAAGTACACAAGTACATAGGATGGGAATGGAAAGGAAGCGGAAAGATATATAAACATGCATAGTCGTCAGATCATGTCGTTTCCTGTCGTGCAAGTATCCCTCTCTCCTCATCTCGCTCGGCACTAACAAAGCATGGTGAGTGATCACTGCCCCGGATCTTGTAATACCACCAACACGTATTTCTCGTCTTTGAATCAGTCATCCTTATGTCATATGCGCGAAAGAAGGAGGGGGGACTTACCAGGGGTTATTATGAGTTCATGTCGTTTAGTCCGTATACGCATGAAGCGAAGTTGGTCCTAGACATGAGCTCCCACAACTAATTAGGCAAGAATGCATAAAGGTAACTGACCCCAGAATCACACTCCCCAACAGCCTTAGTAACACCTTCCACAACACCTTCTAACTCCCTAGCATACCTCTGCCCATTCTCACCTTCGAAAACCGTCCCTGTACTCTGTACGATCCCACCTCCATCAACCCCACGTCGGAACAAAACCATGACCCCTTTCACATGTCTATAAGCTGATAATCTAGCAATAGTAGCTTCTATCTCTTGAGGTAGGGATGGATCTGGAGATGTCAGAGGGTGATCGACACCATTTGGGAGGTTTATGGTAGGGGTTTGGGATGTAGACATGAATTAAAGGTGAATTAGATATAAAGTAGAGGAATTGAAATGACGTAGGTTGTTGTTAACTTATCCTGCGCCGTCATACGAAAGATTCAGTTGACAATTTTTGCATTCCACCTTTTGTCACCTTTTCCCCTTGTCCCATCTGATCATTTCACTTTCACCTCTTGGCAGTCATATCAGCTGAGAGATCAGTGGGGATAAGCCACAAGATCGCTTTGCTCCTATAGAGAACTGACGGCTGCTAGCTGCTCAGTCTGAGAGACGTCGCCCCTTTGTCCGCCGTGATCAGTGAATTGACCTCGCAGTGATCCAGTGATCTGACAGGACACGCGGATATCTCCAACAGGACGAGATCAGGGAGGCATATCATAAGAGCTAGAACAAGACCGGTACTTATGACAATGCAAGATTATCATTCCGAGGGAGAAGATGATCGAGGTCAGAACAAAGACGATATATCAAATACCATCCTCGACCCTTTACCAGAAGAAATCTTCCCGAGGGTCATCAAACCTCGTAAGAGATCACCAAAGTATTGGCGAGCATGGATTTTGATGATGTTTGTATGGTCTTTCACCCCTTTGTCACTGTACGTATCTTCAATATCCCTTCTTAGCCTCCATTTCCCTCCCTCCCTCCGTGCGGCATACACCCTCAAATGCCTGCTATCAGTTTATCTATCCTCTATCTCTCGCCTCAAGATCGATATGATCATTTGCATCAAACGTACACAAAGCTAGAAGAAAGTGAGAGATCATTGACCTATAGACTTTATACTATCTGGTTCTTTCAATTTCGATCCCGACCCGCTTCCCTCCCTCACACCATCTTAGCCGCTTACACCCTGACCGAAGTCGTATTCGCCCTTTATCATCTTCATCTCTTTCGACTAGTCCAAGCTCCCGGTCGACCCTCACCCCTTTCGTTAGAATCAAGGAATAACCTCTTCCTCCGTCTTCTTCGAGCTGGTATAGCTTACCCCGCCCCTCCTCTACCTATGCGTTTGGACGATTGTGTGGAATATGCAGAAGGAATGTATCGTTCTGGTCATCTCACCGCTGCGCAGCTACATAGAGTCAGAGAGTGGAGATCAGAAGGAGCTATGGTAGCTCGACAGGAAACGACTGGGATAATGACTCAAGATGAGAAAAAAGTGTTGGATTCTTTCAGGGAGAAAGTACCCGGGGAAAGGGAGGAGAGATTGAGGGGAGAGGTAGAGAATGGGGTGGAGGAAGGACAAAGTGGGGAGATTCTGTTAGAGGAATATGATAGGAGAGTGGTGGAATTCAGAGAAAGGTTAAGGACTTGGTAGGTGTTCCTTCATCCGCTCATCTTCTCATGTGTGATTTCACTTTTTCATCTTCTCATTCACCTCTTTAGTCTCATGAATATGCTCGCTGCCATTATCCCCTTCAAGACGCAAACTTCCCTTGTCATTTCTCCTAGCTGCGTGTATGTTGTCTATCCCATCAAGCGATAAACGGATCTGATAGCCCACGTGAAGATACGTGAATCAGCACAGTGAGAATTTTCACACGATGGGTCAACACGATTCAAAGTGAAGACACAACGCTGAGAATCAGGTTTCACCACGCCCCTTGGGACACGATCCCACGACACAACGTCCTCATGTGGTTATCATGGACATGTTTCGGTCTTCCTATTGAAACAGCTCAAGCGAATCCAACTTGGGACAAATTTCTTGATAGTACTCTTGAACTGTTGGAAGAGACTACAGGTTCACATTTTCGAGACGGTTACGATAGAAAGGTCAAGGTTATGAGGTTGACTTTAGATCCTGTCAATGTAAGTGTATATCGCTCTATCGCTTCACTCTTCCATCACAATGTCCAATCTGAAGGCTACTAGCTTCCTTCTCTCATCGCCTTTCCTATCTCCGCTCATGTCATCATCACTGCCGTCTCTCCCCGTTCTTCCACACCAGGTACCTAAGAGTGTATCTGTCGTATGTGAGTGCAATAGAGAGATAGTGTTGATAGTCACGTGGTATCAGATTTATTAACATACTATTCGAAGGAATGAGAAAGTGTAATTGGGATCGAGGAAGCCATCATTGACAGTGATAGGTTCAACTTCGACCTTTGTTTCTCTACGCATTGACAAATCTAACGAATTGGTATTTAAGAGATTTTCAATATCCTTCTGAAGGTTTACACTTGGTACGTTGCCCGTCATCCATAAAATCGTCGCTGACGTTTAGTATCGGGAAGGGGAGATAGAGTAAGTAACCTTTTCTCCATTACTTTACTTCCACTTCCACCTTCACCTTCACACTGCTCTGTTCATCGACGTCATCCCTTCCGACGCGCCTTCCCATCTACCCTCGTCTGTCCATCCCTCCTACATTTTACTAAGATAAGAAAGTGAACATGTGACACAATCCCATGATCGGTGATACGAAACGGTTATCAAAGAGGGAGGCGGTAGCATTGCAAAGGAAAGAACAGTGGTTATCGCTAACAATCAGCTATCTACTCAGAATCCCAAATGGATGGACCCCTACCAAAGGCCGTCATCTGACTAACAACATGCCAGTCATTTATCTACACGGATTAGGTTTCGGTGCTCTTCAAAATCATTTCTTAGTTCGACATTTAATCAAATCTCTGCCTACCCATCCTATAGTCATCCCGTTGGCTTATCATACTTCACAAGCTTTCTTTCATCCTAGGTATCTGAAACCTTGGAGTAGAGAAGAGATGGTAGGTTCTATTAAAGGGATTTGTAAACGATGGCAATTCTGGGACGAGGATAGTGAAGGAGGTGGGGTCAGTTTAATGAGTCATTCGAATGGAAGTGTTGGACATTCTTGGAGTGAGTGATTCAGTGTCTTGCTTTGAATGAGATATTCTTCATGTCCAATAACTTCTCTTTCTCCTCGCCTATTCTTCTTTCATTTCCACTGTTTATTTTGATGAGTCGAACACTCACTTTTGTCACACCATCTTCTCCGCTCAGATTGGCTTCTTCCCCATCAATTACGTACTTTTCCATCCTCCGCTGACGGGACGAGACATCATTTTGTTAGGAACGATGAAGAGCTGACGTAGTAGTATTGAAAGACTGTCCAGCCCTCGCACGGCGGAATGTCTTCGTAGACCCTGTGGTTTTCTGTCTCTGGGAAGGAGGTCAGTTCGAATCTGCTTCTCACTTTCTGAGTTGACGTGTAGATGTTTGTTATAACTTTTGTTATCGTAAACCTTCCACAGTGAGTCTTTTGCTTGTCGTGGTGAGTGAGAGATTTAACAAATAGGCAATGGAATTGTTATTACAATATTTTGTTGCTAGCGAAGCAGGGATTGCGAATTATATTCAAAGAGTGGGTTGATATCCTTCTTTCCTTCTGTTCTTCTTCCCTTCCCTCCCCTACCTCTCTTCTTTTTTCTTCACTTCTATCTCCCCTTCGTCAGAAGTAATATCATCGGAACGAAAGGACGTTACCAGCCACAATAAAACTTTCCCGCTTGGTCACATGTCGACTCCCTTTCCATAGGTCAACCTTTGCATGGAACGGTTTCACGAGCCCTTCATCAGTTCGACCTATATATGGTGATCGGGGTTTTGGAGTTGTGATCGTGACAAGTCAAGAGAGAAGACATTGACCCTCAGCACTTTGATTGGGCCGAAAACACCTTGTTCATCGATGAAATCCCAAACGCTGGGGATCCTACTAAAACAGCATTTTTCTTAGGTGGAAAAGATATGATCATTGATGCCATGGTACATTTTTATTCTTTGGTTTAGTCTGTTGTTGATGTCAGCGCGTAAGGAAGTATTTAGAAAGGAGTGAGTAGAATCCTTCTCTCTTTACGTACCCCGCTCCACTCGTTCTATGTTGGTTCTTCATATATGGGTATGCTGAAAAATTTGACGACTGGGATATTCACCCTGTACTGAGCACTCATGAACGCCATCTACGCTCAGGAAGGGAAGAATTGAAAGATCACTCCCAATCATTCTCAAATCCATACTGGTACAAGAGCTGACCTTCAGACGGAATTAAAGAAGGACTTCATTGGGACCCACAAGGAGGTCACGGTGATGGATTAGTGGGGGAAGCAAGAGACAGAGTGGTAATGTTCACCGGAACGGGTTCGACGATGGGTTGGGAAGGATGGTTGAGATCAGGTAGACGAAGACATAGTTTAGGACAAGATGCTTCTGCTCGTCTAGGTAGCGATTGAGATAAGGGAGATTTGAAAACATCATGTGATGATCATCATGAGTAAGATATAATAAGAATCTGTTGGATCTATATGGGTGATTAGTAGGGCTTGTTGGATGGATAATAGACGTGAATAGAGAGATGTGAAGGTCGTTCAGATATAGATGAGCATTGGTATGTATGTCAGTGACTGATTCGGCCGATTGTGAGCTGTACCATTTGGTTGACATGCTGAGGCGGTGTCACAGTACTCGATCAAATCCTGAGACTTGAGCTCTCAAGTTCTGTGCAGACATACGGAGGTTCTTTAGGGTTGACATACACGAGATAAGGGTCGAGGGTGACATAGAGTGATAGAGCATAGAGCTTTTTTTGACTACGCGTAGTGAGGTGAAACTCAAAGTGGGGGAAAAGTGGGGAATACTTAAGTGGGGGGGCTCGAATAAATTTCACTTTGTCACAATTTCCCCTCGTCAAAACTTGACCACCTACAAGTCATATTCAACGACCATCCCGTCTACGGCCGTCTACTTTATATGACAATCATCAATATAAGCAACATGTCTGTGAGTCATCATCATCTCATATAATGATATCCTATCATCTCATAAAATGACATCTTGACTATATACTGACCCCTCAGTCTCATAGACCAATTCATCTAATACGAAATCTCAAACATTCTTCCTCCCTTCGTCGACCTCTTCTCCTTCCTTCCCAATCCCATCCCCTCTCCTCAAAACAAACATCATTCTCAACAACCTCTCACATCTCTTCACCCAACTCAAACCCCCTAAACCAACTTTCGACCAAAATCGATACCCCTCTATCCCCCGAAATAGCTCCATTGGTAGAATCGATCTCTTCTTTAACTTTGATCCAAGTATCCGAACTTGTCTCAGCTTTGAAAACACGTTTGAACATCTCCGATATACCCATTGTCGCTCCTTCCAACAATGTTTCTAAAGTAGTTTCAAATGGAGAAGAAGGTGAAGGGGAAGGGAAAGAACAAGTGGAGAAAAAGAAAGAGAAAACTATTTTTACGGTGAAATTGGAAAAATTCGATACGGGTGCAAAAGCAAAGATTATAAGGGAAGTAAAAGCTATGATGCCGAATATGAATTTGGTCGAGGTGAGTCTATGGATTCTTCTTCTTTCTTCTGATCTGGCGTTTCGTTTCGGTCTCTGGTTTGATGTTAGGGTTAGGTCTCTGGCTTGATTCTAGGGTCAGGCTTCCAGTTTGATCGTATCGTGAAGAAAGTCAGTCCTGCGATCGATTTTACAATCTTTGCGATAAGACAAGGATGTAGTGGTGATTTGTATATCTGAATTTCGAATTGGGGTTTTGTCATACCTCTTTAAACTCGAAACTGTCCTCCTTCTCATATATGACCGACCACTCTCCATTCGATGAGGAATAGTGTTCGAGCGGGGTCAAAGTGTTAAAAATCCCACTGGAAATATCCCTATCAAACGTCTTTTCTTCCAAATTTGGGAATAATCATCTCCTTGCAAAATCACCACATCCTCACCCATGTACTGTCATGTCCGATTCTACGTCTTCTGACACTCAATAAGTCTTGATGTGGTTCAGTTCTACTAGACGGGTTGAGGTGGAATAGTTCGAATTGTCAAGAACCGAAAGCTAATTTTCTAGGCGAAAAAATTCGTCGAATCTGTTCCTCAAATATTGAAAGAAAACCTACCTAAAGAAGAAGCGGAGAAATTACAGAAAACTCTGACTGAATTAGGTGCGACAGTCACACTTTCTTGAATCGTTCCATGAAAATCATGCATTTGATCCATTAATCATTTAATTCTCTTCTTTCCAATACTGAACTTATACAATGATCCTTTCATTCTCTTTTTTTTGATAATACCTACTTCAGATCACTTTCCTTTGAGATTCCTTTTGGAACGGTGAGATATTTTGGTACAGTATACATTAGTGTAGTACGGTTTCCGATCGAAGATTTGATACTTTAACTGTAGAGTACTCGTACTTACTTCATCAAGCGGGACATTCTCTCATGTGCACGTCATAACTTTGAAAAGAGTTGTTTATCATATCTGTACAGTATCTGTAAATTGACTGAAACCCAAACTATTGGTAATTTGAAAGTATTTCGAGGGAACAAATGGATTAACATGATCCAAAAAACAACCTGTATATAATTCTATGATCTAAGTTCATGACTACTATAATTCCCAGATAACGAATTGGAAATTTCCAAATTGACGATATTCATTCATATCCTACTGACACACCGAAGATCTTCACCATACCTTCACCTCATCGCACGGGATGTTTTGGTGGTTTCCCATTAAGTATATCAACCATCTCATCAATAGCCTTTATACAACCTATATATGTCCCTTCGTCCGTTGAAGAACCACTAAAACGTCAGATCGAATTCACTTGACTAAAACACAAATCCGATATCCACTCTTTGAAGAAGTAAAAACATATCTGACATACATATAGGGAAGGGTCAAACACTCGGAAATTAAACTTGGTTAGATTATACAAGTGAATAAAAAAAAGAAAAAAGATTTGTGTGTAAAAGATTTTGAAAACTCACATATGAGGTAAACAAACGATATTTTTTCTTTTTCCTAATTCACCTAAATTCTCTCCGAAAGCAGGTTCAACATTAAAAACGTCTAAACCAGCACCGAACAATATCCCTTGATCTAAAACTTTTATCAAAGCTATTTCATCCACTATCCCACCTCTGGCAGTATTGATCAATATCGAACCTTTTCGTAATGATTTAAGTTGATCATAACCTATCAAATTCTTAGTAGATGAAGTGAGGGGACAATGGATAGATAAAATGTCAATGTTTGGTAATAGGTCGTTCAATGAGTTTACTCTGATATGGGGTATAGGTATGTATTTTGAGGTTGATGAATGACTTATGTTGGTTGTGTTGGGTGTGGTAGTTTGACTTTCTTCTGATCGATGAGGTAGATCCGGGAAGGATGAAATATTAGGGAATGTCGGTTCTTCTTTAGGTGGAGAAGGTTCAGAAGGATGAGAAGGATGAGAGGTGGAAAAGAGATTAGAGATTGTTTCTGATTGACCCCATTTGTTAAGAGGAGAAGTAGGTGACCAAATTATTATCTTACAACCAAAAGCCAAGAATAATTTAGCAGCTTCATATGCTATATCTCCCATACCTATCAATCCTACTGTTTTTCCCATTAATCCAGGTGATAAAACGGTGATGGAAGGGGTACGTTGACCGGATGTTATTAGATAATCGGATTCTTTTATACGTCGAAGGATTATGAGAGATAAAGCGATGGTCAATTCTGCTACTTCCTATGGGTCAGATGAGGTTTACTTAAATTGCACCTGCTCTCTTCCTCCGCCTCTCCCCTCCTCCTTCCCGGGGGGGACGCCCCGCTGTCCCCTTCGCAACAAGATTGACAAGTATTAGTACTTTTTGACGAACAAATTCAATTCAAGAGTGGGTAAACCAGCATGACATTTTCAAATACTAAAGTGGTGATATACAGGGGCCAAGAGTAAATTGGGTATTCTCTCAAACAAAGGTGCGAATGTGGATATACCAATTGTGACCAGTTAAATCACTCGTCGAAATCAGGTGAGAATGATAATTTAGGGATGGAAGGTCCATATGGTTGATGGGTCGTGTTGGTAGACGAAGAGAGATATGACATCTTATGAGAATTCTTTGTATGCTTGCAAGGTAGAAAGAGAAGTCGGGTTCTGTGTGGAAAAACTGTTAGACTCACCTTTGCATTACCCCCAGGGACGTTAGTCACCATTATACCCCTCCTAACACATTCGTCAAGATCAATCATATCGAGTCCAGTACCATTCCTACAAATAGCTTTGAGATTTGGAGCGAGGTCGAGTTGAGGTTTATGCATGTTTCCGATTCGTAGTACTGTTTTTCAACGTCAGCCTTAGCCCTAGATCACTATACACTCCATGCAATATCCACACAAATCACCCGCTTTGCAACTCTGTACAATAATCTTCCCTCTACTTTATGGAACCACAACCTGCTAAACCTGTTCTATCTCTTCAATCTCCAGGAATGTTTCCGATTACTCTTATGAGGCTCGTAGAGACGAAGATAATACAGGGGAACATCGAGTGGTCTCTCAAGTTTATATAGAAAGAGAGTGAGAGATCTTTCCGTCATTGAGACAGAGAGAGAGAGGAGGGAGGGAGAGGAAGGATATCAGAAACTCACAAATCCCATCCGCCCGACTTAACAATTCCTCTTCCTTCCCATCCACTCCATTCCGTAACACTTTCCCAAACTTTTCCTCGGCATATTTCTCCGCACGGGGATGAAACGGCGTAGGAAGATAGATCGTAGCGTTTTCCGCTGTAGTTGGGGTTGAGGTGTGGTGGTCAGGTTCAGAAGGAGGAGTAGGGAGGTAGGTGGTTGTCTTTGACATGACCTTTCTTCTTCACAGTAGTACTTAGCTAGTGGTTGATAGTTGAAGTACGGAGGGGAAAAACCTGTTGACAATGCCGCAATGTCGGTCGATACCTTATCACCAGAGATGATGTCCATGGAAGATATTTCCGGACTTCCTTGACTCTCTCTTCTTTCGTCAATCACACCACTTGATATTGAACCCTCCTCCTAAGGGCAAGATCGACTCGACTCAGGGTTTTACTTCAACTCGTGATCAGATATCAGATAAGACATCTACCTTAGACATCACCAAATCATCCTAAAGAACTGGAAAGGAACAACTCACACAAACATGTCAAAATGGCAAATCATCATCAACCCAGCTGCTGGCTCGGGTCAAGCTGTACAATGTCAGTCCTTCTTCACTAAAGATACGTTCAATATCACATCCATCATAGTCTCTCCAACGTGTACATGTATGAATGTGACAATCAACAATAACCCTGACTACCATATACGCCCTTCTCTTGACTTTCCTTTTCCTTTCAAGGGACTGATACACCCTGAGCTCTGTGGTGATGTCTTCCTCTCGACTTGCCTTACTTGTGTCAATCTCTTAGCTTGAGGGGGATAACCGGATGAGGGGAGAAACGGGATGATATCTGACCTGCAGTTGTTGACGAACACGTCACACCTTCACTCGACGTTCTAGGGGAGAAATATGAAATTCACCATACTCAACAAGCGGGAGATGGATCCAGAATAGCTTTAGACATACATAGAAGCAATCACACTTTCAAAGAATCAATAACCACAGGAGCAAGCTCGGTTGGAGGAAGAGAAGAGAGTTATGATGAAGTGGAAGAGAGTGGGAGTTTCGAAAGGGGAAATAAGACGGTCAGAATTGTGATCGTTGGTGGAGATGGGACGACCCATGAGGTTATCGAAGGATTATGTTCTACTTTGACTATGGAGGAAATTGGAAGATGGGAGATTGTTGTCATACCTTGTGGAACGGTATGTCCCTACCCTCTTACTTCTTCCTTCACTTGCTCTCTCGTTTCCTGTGGATGACTAGCTGTCCATTTTGTGCCCCATCACACCACACCACACATACACCTCCTTTTCCCACTCTTGATTCAGCTCTATCATCTTTCAACCAAGAATATGATTGGGATCTCGCTCTCCATCGCTTTGATCAGGGTGGAAAGCGTGGACTACTTTACTCACGTGCCAATGCTGACTCTCAGGCAAACGCATTATTCCATACTCTCTTCCCACCTACACAACCTTTCTCTCCACCACCTTTACTCGTTCCTTACCTCCATGACAAACCATTGGAAATAACACACAAACTTTCTTCCCTACTCTCGGCTCTTTCTGGAAATTCTAAACCTCGTAGATTACCTCTAACACGAACAACACTTCTCCCACCTTCCCCGATCGATTTCCAACGAAATTACCCAGATTTCATGAATCCCTCAGGATCAACTCCCCAAACATCTTCCTTCCCAATCACCCATGATACTTCCCTTACTAATAGAAAACTGGGAGATTCTTCCTCTACTCAAAGAATACTCGGACATTCCGAATCAGGGGAAGACTTAGAAAACAAAGTGAAAACCCTTTACTCCCATATAGTCCTCTCCACATCTCTCCACGCTTCCATACTCGACACTTCTGAATCTCTCCGCGTTATCCATCCAGGTATCGAACGCTTCGGAATCGCTGCTCAACAAAATGCGGGGTTGTTTTTCGATGCTGATTTGATCATGTTTCCTCCTACCGGTGGGGAGGTCAAGCAATATGAGCCGAGGTTGGACAAATTCGTCATACCCTTTACTACGGATGTCGAATCTCCCTTACTTCTCACGCAACAAGCGGAAAGCTACAAGAAACGACGCAATAACATGTCAAATTTGACAATCGACAACGAGAAGGGAAACCATAGTGAGGGGGAAGGAAACAAAGAGGGAGTGGTATTAAAAGGTCCATTCTCATATTTGTTAAGTTCTACATTAGCAGATAGGATGGAAGAGAAATTTATGATTTGTCCAACATTACGAACTCATCCACCTTCTTTTTTGACACTATTTGCGTCTGGTCTGAACCATCGAAAACCTCTCATATCCCAAGAGAAGAATACCGAGTCGTCTATGGATCATGATAGAGGGAAAGAAGATGAAGAAGAGGAGGAAGTACCAACGATGGATGTAGTGATTTTACGTCCTTTTCGCGATCCGGCCGTTCGAGCGATACTTGAAACTTCCACCTTGTTTTCAAATCAAGATGAACAAATTGGTCAGGACCCCGCTGATAGACCGAGTCAAAATTCAAATCCACTCTCAAGTCAGAGTTCTGTTCAATCTTCTCGAAACGAAGGTCAAACAGTTCTGCAATTAAAGACAAAAGTTGGAATAGAGGATGATGGTACGAATACGAATGAAAGGAAAGCCAATGAACAATGGGCATTGAGAGCATGGGAAATATTGAAATTAGCATATTCATCAGGATCTCATATCTCACGTACTTATTCAGGTCCTGGACCAAGTGTAGAAAAAGGAAAAGGAGAAGTGGTAGTAGAGGTGTTCAGGTGTGGATCGTTCGAATGGATTCCGGGAGGTTTGAAAAATGATAATACTTCAATGTCGATGACTCGGAATGTCATTGAAGGATGTGGGACGGTGAAGGAGGTTAATGTTGGACAAGTGAAAGATGTTTTTGAAGGACAAGTTAATGATAATCATGGTGGACATGTGAATAATATAAATGGTGGACATGTGAATAATATACATGGTGGACATGTGGATAACGTTCAAGAAGGACATGTAAATGAAGTTGATGAAGGACAATCGAAGAAAGTTCATGATGAACGAAAAAAGAAAGAAAATACAAATATGAAAACCAAAGAAGATCTAAATAATTTATTATGTTCCGATGGATCAATCCATAGAATACCTTTTGGTGGTAAAGCTAAAATAGAAGTGATATCTTCTTATGATTTCTGGGTTTGGGGTTAGTATGTATCATCATTATACTTTTTTCCCATTACTTTGGGATTAGGCGATGGAACCATTATCAGAAGGATTCAAGTTTTTACTTTTCGTCCCATGCAACATGCAACATGCAACATGTTTGTTTCTAACATAATTACCGGTGTCATGAAGGGCATTACATATAGTAATTCGTAACTAGTACATTTCTCAATCGTGGAATAAAGACACTGGGACGGATTTTGTTATTCCAATTTTTGAGATATGTAGTTCAGTAGAGTACTTGTTGAATGTTCAATCAACATGTGGGGAGGAAGCAGATTCCGAAGTGGACGATTGGATACCAGTAACATCATCTGATGATAACATTATCAAATACAGCTTCAAATGTTAGACTTGATAATTAACAGAATGGACAAAAGTTGTACTCCTACAGTTAGATTCAGCAGATCATTAAAGATGCAACAGTGAACAAATATTCACAAGGTTAGACACACAATGCAGCATTATCCATCCATTCATTCAATAATATTTGCACATGAAATAACTTCTTTAAAATTGACATCTACCACCAAGTCATCATTGATCCTATGATCATGTTTTTTTTTATGTATTCATTTCCCGCCTTCTATCTTGGATCATGGGTGTCGAGTTGTAATGCGAGATGAAAGATTGGTTGTGCTGTACAGTGAGGGTCGAGGGTCAGTCGATGAGTCTGGTTGAGGATGAACGATGACGGGTCAAGGATAGGGGGTGGAGGAGAAAGAGAGATGGAGGATGAAGGAGAAGAAAGAGGATAAAGTTGGAGCTGCATCAAAGAAAGAAGATGAATATTGAGGTGTGAAGCTCGGAGAAGAAGGTCGGAGGGTATGTTGGAATCACTTTTTCCGAGCAGCACGGATCATCTCACTCATGGTCGATAAAGGACAAGCGATTTTGTAGAAATCGTGCTGGTCGTCAGATTTCTATCTCGCCTAGACATGGACATTGACAAGCAAAGCAATCATCGATCACGATAATAGCAAGCAAAGCAATGATCCATCGTGATTGACCTTGTACGATTGATGATTGATCATAAATTATGACCCGAAAGATGGGAAGAGTGGGAGTAAGAGCCACACTGGCTAGTCGAAAGATCAAGGGAACATTGCACATGTGGATGGAAGGGGGAAGGGAGGCGTGGAAGTCAAGAAGAAACCCCAACCTCACCCTTAACAATTGTTCAGCCGTGGGTCGCTTCTCCGCATCTACAGTCAAACAACACTGTAGATAATCTTTGAACAGCGGTTGAAGTGTTTCCCATCCCTTGATCTTGGGTGTACCGTTGGTAGCGATGAGATACAATGCCCTCAGGGGGTTTTCATTCAAGTAAGGAGGTTCACCTTCGAGCATTTCTGTATGTCAGCGGACAGCAGGCGTTTACTTGGAACTGAAGTCCCGTGTCATTATGAAAGAAATAAAAACACAGAACAACGTGACAAGACGATTGACAAGATGTGTGACGTGAAGAGATAGTCCGAGAATGATGAGATGGGACGAAGAGGAAGATCAAGTACTGCAGCACTTGTGACTGGCAATTGTACCTACTCGCTAATGAGAATAACAGAATTGGGGAGAGCTTAAGGTACAACAATGGCAGAGAGAAGATGACGAAATACAATGAGCACACAGTGGAGAGGAAAACACTCACCAATGGCCATGATACCCAAAGACCAAATATCGACCTTCGGTCCATACTCTTTTCTAGTGACCACTTCCGGTGCCATCCAATAAGGCGTACCGACCATGGTAGTACGTTTCGTACTGAGCGGGTCGGCTATACGGGCGCAAAAACCAAAGTCGGCTGTATGTCAGACACACTTCCATCTATACCACGATGGGCGAGTAGGACCGTCGCCCTGTATCTCTCGTTTTCACGACAACGCATACTCGGCAGGGGGTACACGCGTCAGGGTCGCCTCCGGGATTGATAGTGGCCGGCAGCGGGAACAAGGAGGGAGAGATAGGGAGAAATATAAGAAGGTGGAGACAGGCACAGGGAGGAGGTCAAGAGCGCGGAGGGAGAGAATGGGAAGAAAGAGGACGGCGCAAGGAACGAGCGAGGAGGGGGGGCGGGGGGAATGATGTAGGGAAAACACAACTCACTCAATTTCACATCCCCTTGTAAACTTAACAAGATATTATCGCTCTTGATATCTCTATGTATAACACCTTTTGAATGCAAATGTCTTAAACCTTCACAAACTTCTCTACTGACAGCTGCGATTTGTTCCCTACTCATATAATTAGCAGTAACGATGTCCGTCAAACTACCTCCTTCCATATACTCCATGACCACCCATAAATCTCCTTTCCACAAATAAGAATCCATGAAATTTACAATGTTGGGATGAGCAGATTCACGCATGACGAGGATTTCGTTGATGATGAGATCTTGTTTGGGTTGTTTTTCTAGGTTCATCTGTTTTATGGCTACTGGTTGACCTGCTTTGTCGTGGGCGGTGTATACACCGCCAGAGGCACTGGTCATCAGCTTTCGACATCCTAGTCCCGCCGTTTGTTACACTTCCTGCCAATGACACATCTTCTCCGTGCCATTCGACTGTGAACAGTTGGACTTGGCTCGTGCCAGTACTACGGGCAATGATACGAGGTCAAAGCTATGACACTTTGATGCGAGATCAGGCGGAAGGCAGCAAACGATGTAAGGTGAGTGGAAGCGAGCAGCGGGAATGGAGCTGAGATACTGATGAAGAGTGGAAGGAACTGTGAATTTCGGAAAAAGAGGCACGAAAGCAAACCCACCCTTGTCCGATCTTTTGCAAATTTCGATAAACCAAGTTCGGATCTCCAGGGGTGCATATCATCTGCAACTGTCTTATGACCTCTTCACTCTCTTTGGCCTTCTCTCTCCTTCTCGGTGCCCCGCTACCTTGACCGGTAGCAGGTTTCGCCTGTGTATGTTGTCTTGCCAAAGCAGCGGCTCCACCACCAGGTGGCAGTCCATGATCTGGTCCAGGTCGAGCAGGGTGTCCTTGTTGGGATCGAGATTTGGACATGGGAAGACCAGCCGGAGGATAAGCCTTTGAAGCGGGCGCTCGGGTGGTATTTGCCCGATCGAGGGTTTTGCTCCTTGGTGGAGGCTGGGTGGAGGGCAGTCGGGAAGAGAGTGAGCGGTCGAGCATTGATGAGGTGGGGGGAAGTCCGGGAGATTTCCCAGGAGGGGCTGGGGGGAGACGTTCGGCCTGAATTATCAGCGCAGTCCGAAAGACGGTATCTACCTATCCATAGAGTCCCAAGCAATGGAAGAAAGCCTCAAGACTTATGGGTAGGAGACCAGGGAGACTATGTACGGCCAAGTAGACAGCGGCATTGAACAACACACCTGTAATCGTGAAGGCCCAGAAGATTTGGCAGGTGGAACGGGAGCCGCTCTTGGATTGGCAAATTGTTGTACCTGTTGCGGGGCAGGAACTTGGGGTTTCGCACTTGATTCCTGACTGTTCTCTCTCGACATGTCCTTGCTAGCCGATTCGGAACTGGAGGGGATACGTTGTGGACCGGCATTTTCCATCTTCCTCCATACCTCGTCATCATCCGGCTCCGGAGCAGCTTTGTTTTGGTACATTCGTACGATAGCGAGAACCTCCTTAGGATGACGCTCTTGTTCCGCGCGAGTGATACCTGATTTGTCCAGTATATCTTGCCATTCAGATGGCATACCGGTGTCTTTTCGTCAGCAAATAGCGGCAAGTAATGGTGGCTCGAATTTTCACACGAGAGAATTCAAATGGCGGTGCGAACGAATCACTCAGGAAGCGGAGATGATGACAGAGCGGGGGAGGAGAAGTTCACTCACATTGTCCAGTCTGATAATTGTAGCCCACATGAGTGAGATGGATAGGATCGTACGGTGTGGAAATGACAGGAGGTTTGTTATTATTTGTGAGCAATTCTGCGGATCAGCAACACAGCCCGAAGCTCTCATCTCCTTGATGACTGCAATCATGCGTGTTATAGATCTAGTTGAGCGAGAGAGAATTGACTTACCGCTCAACGCCCCAAATATGCTCTTTTTATCCTTCATACTCTTCCCAGTCCCACTTCTGTTTCTCCGGGTGGAAGACGGTTCTTTTGGCAGTTCCTTTTCCTTCGGCTCTTGTACATCCATAGGCATTCCCATTCCCATCCCCATTCCTGTCCCACCGACGCCCAATCCCACGCCGACGTGCGTGTCCTCGAACTGTCTCTCCAATCCGGTGGCCCCCGCTTGTGCGTAAGGATTACCTGGAGCGGAGAACGGCTGATGTGTCAAGGGCGGAGGAGTATGTAGACTTGTCATCCCAGGAGGGTTCAACGCCATACGACTCGACGACGACATCATATCGCCATTCACTTCGAGTGGCAAGGTTCCTGACCTGGTGGGACGAGGTGGTGCGCCGTTGGGTGAAGGGTGAAAGTTAGAAGCTGATCCTGACGGACCTGCCGAATATCTATTGAGATTAGGAGAGTTTGTCGCTGACTGAGAGGTAGTATATGGTGGACGAGAAGAAGAAGAAGCGTATCCAACGGGTGAAGCTTGTAAACCTGAAGCGCGTCTGTTTGAATTTGGGGGAGGAGGAGCAGGTCGGGAAGGTTGTAAAGATGTAACTGTTGATATGTTGTCTACAGGCCGAAAAGAGCTGGGTGCATAACGATCGGTACTATTTCCATTTCCAAAAGAGTTTGAAGGTCCAGACCCGATCACTGGTGATGCATCCAAGTGAAGGGGAGAACCTGAAGGTAATCGAGGACTGGTTGTTGCTGAAGAGGCGGTGGGGACCATACCCAGAGCCATGTCCGTGTCGTTGGAGTAAAGCATGGATTCACGTGTAGGACGAAGGTAGGAAACCCGAGGGGCTATGGGGATGGTACCGTTGGAAGGGGTCACTGGAGTTGCACCGGTATCTGTTTAATGTCAGTATGCTGTGTTGATGAAATTCCCACAACGAGTTGAATGACATAGGTACGAGAGAGGATCGGAAGTAGGAGATTGAGAATGATAGAATACGGAAATGGAAAGTATGGACTTACAAGATGCTTGAGGATGCCGGATTTGGCGTTTTGGACTGGTGTTGCTTGTCATGTTTGATGGTTTATGTAGATGGAAAAAGGTTTTTACCACCAGAGCCTACTCCTTTATCCTCTTACACGGAGTTGTTTGGTTTCCTACTTGTGCGGGTTTGATGATGATCCGTATCGAGTTTGGATAAGATCGAGATGAGAAGATGAGAAGAGAAGGAAAGAGATAAGAAAGTGAGGATGCAAGGGCGTGAGGTATCGTATGGTGGAAAAATGAGACAGACCTCTCTGCCCTAATGGTGAGGGCGCAACGGGTGAAATGTGTCGTACCGTTTGGATCATGCACCAAGTAAAGACAAATATGATGAATATGGTGAGGGGTAAGGGGTGTGATAGGAAGTAAGGGTGGTATGAAAAGTTGTAGTTGGAAAAAGATTTGATGGTTTCTTGTTGTGAGTTGTATTGTGATTTGTGAGTGAGAAGGGACGCGACAGGGGGTAAAGAGAATAGCGCGGACCGAGCTCGTGATGGATTGAATGTTTGGGCCTTTTTTCAATACTTGACTCGTGTTTCAACCTATATCTATGGCACGGTCCTGTATGGGTTCAAGGGGATAGTGTGATAGAACGGGGTGTGAATGAGAAGCAAAAGATGGGTGGAATGCATAGAAGTATAGGTGAAGGGTGATGGGGTGATAGGGGGCAGTATGGGGATATGGGGAGAGGCTCAAGGGGGGGGGGCAGTTGGAAGCGCGGGCAGGGGGGTAGGGAAACAAACGCCACGAGGCTGACTTCGGAACCTTTTTACGGCGTTATGATCGGGATTAACAACTCTCCTTCCCGTGTGGCACTTTACAAGTCGCGACTGACTTTCACGCGATAAACCCACCTCGTCTGCTCTCCGTTCAACCACTAGTAAGCCCACTCACTGGCCAATGGGACTGCTATGAAACAGGTCTCTCTATAGACAAAGCTTAGCGGTAACACACCATGACTTCACCTACAAAAGGCTTCGAATATCTTCCAGGCTTTCTCGCCGCTACTTGCGCTGTATGTACATCTTCCTTGTTTGAAGAGAAAGATGAATATGGCAATGACATGTCCGTCGTGGCTCCCGTCACTTGTGGTGAGTACCGGATTTCTTTCCTCTTTTCTTCCCTTTCCCTTCCCTCTCTTCCCTCCCCTTGATCAAACAAGTAGACTGCTGTATCGCTGACAACAGGTCATGCCGCACATGAAACATGTCTCGAACGTTGGTTCACCACTCAACGTTCACGATTCGTAGAAAAACATCATCGACCAGCATCAGAAGCCCCATTAGCATGTCCTTCATGTCGTACGGATTGTCGACTTCCTTCCAACCCTGAACCCACCACCAGCACCAGCACCAATACCAATGCCAATACCGATCGATCCACTGGATTATTCGGTAGACCTACCGGACCTGTATTTGGTCGACATACAAGTTTGAGAGATTCCAGTTCTGCTAGAAATCGATTAGGTTTACCTGATAGATCCAATTCAACTTCTCCTAATCCCGAATTAAACAATTCAAGCTCTACCACCGGTAACGCTCATTTACTCCGATTATACGTGACATTATCCGATACGAGATATCTCACAGCTCCCACACTATCATCCTCATCCACATCATTGGCATTAGATTTGTACAGACGAACCAAAGATGTTGAAGAAGAAGTCAGAAATTACACAACGGAAACAAGTTGGCAAACTTCAAAAGATGTTTTTGAAAAAGGAATAGCTTTGGCAGGTGATATGAAAGTAGCTTCTGAAGGATCTTTAGATATTTTAAGTACTCAAATAAATTCTCTCATTTCAACACTTTCTGAATTTCAACAAACTTGTCTACCTCTTGAAAATCTTCATGAAACTCAACATCAACTCTCTCGAGCAGAAAAGAAATTACAACATCTCAAAGAACGTGTAGGAACATTATCAGAAGAAAAAGATAAAATGATTGAATCTTTTAGATTGTTCAAAGATGAAACCGTTCCAAAAAGATATAATGAAATGTTGATGATGGCAAAGATGGAGTTGGAAAAAGAATGGGAAAGGAAAATCATGGAAGAACAAGTAAGAAGAAAAGGTGCAGTTAGAGATGCTGAAGAAGCACGTAAAGCGTTAGGTAATGAAAGTGATAGATTGAAAAGGGAAATCGATAAATTACAAAAAGAAAAAGAAGAATTAGAAAAAGATTTGAATACTAGGACTAGACAATTAAGACAATATCAAAAACATCACGAATCTAAATCTCTTTTGAAATCTAAAGTTGAAGAATTAGAAGCTGAGATTGTTCGTCTTAATCGTCAACATCTCAATCGTCCTTCACATTCTTCCGCTTTTCGGCATCATACTTCTCAAGATGAATTGGAGGTAAATTTGGATGATTCAATATCACCCTCTTCAAAACGTATACGACATTCTCATCTTTCATCACCTTCCGACAATTCCAAACATTTTCGTCATTCCACTTCTCCTCAATCTGGTAATTTTGGAGAATCTTCCAATCGGGATCAACATGAAGATACAAAGTGGTTCGATGACCCGTCTGAAGAATTCGGAGAGAACGATTCAAACGAAGAATTATCATCGGATGAAAAAGAAGAAAACGACGATTCATTATTGATTTCTTTCCCATCTTCCCCATCTACTCAAAAAAGGTTTCCGAGCGTCCATCCATCTAGACAAAACAAAACGACCACGGGGTCAGAAAGACGTATGACAAATATGACAAAGGAGAAATACAGTATTCATGGTGAATCACATAAACGTAAAATATCATCAAACGTAATGGAGAAAAAGAGACATCCGACAGCTAGGACATTCTCTTTCGATTTGATTTCTAAATCTTCGAAAACAAATCAATCGATTAGTAGATCGTCAGGATCATCAGGACCATCGAGTTTATTGGGAAAGTCAACTGTGAAGATTACAAAGATGAAAGAAAACGATGGGAAAGAGAAAGAAAATGCAATTTTAGTAGATAGTTCTTCACCTCTCAAAGAAACCGGTTTCACAGGACATACAAATAAGATAGATATGGGGAGATTGGATATGGTTCATAAGAATGGAGAAAGAATTGATGGGAAAAGGAAATTGAGTGTGGCGCAGGTGTTAGGGATGACGGATAGGAATGGTCGACCTGTTGGGGTGTTAGGTATGGGTGTCAAGGTCAGACGGAGATGATTGTCATTGTGTATACGGTGTCAAGGTTGAAGGGAATTGACATTGTATACAAGTACTTGATTTGTATCATACTGATTTGAACGATGCAATTGAAGATAAACATGTGAATTTTTTCATCTTCTCCGCTTTAGGTGAATATATCATGATGCTGCTCTCTTTCCATTGTCCACTGTCCACTCCCTCTCTGCTCTCTGCTATCTGCTCTCTGCTCTCTGCTCTCTGCTCTCTGCTTTCTGGTTCGGAAAGAAGGAAAATGCGGAGACTTCTTTTCTCAGGAACATTGGGATATGAATAATGTAGATCGGACAAGGAATTATTGACGTTTATGATATCAACCCTATTGTGGACTGTAAGATGTAAGAAATAAGGTGACATGTCAGATGAGAGATGTTAGAAGATGTAATTATATACGTACATACGATCTAACCACTGGAATGTATCATTTTCCCTGCATGACAAAATCTATTAAAGTATACACTACAAAGCCCAGAATCCAAACCTCACAACTCCACAAATTCCACAATTCAAAAACCAAAGATCAAAAACCAAAAACCAAAACTACTTGACCACAAGCATGACCAAAGATAGATCAGGGAGGGGGAAGAAATAGAGCACAAGAACCAAATACACATACGTAACTAGTGCGGTCCATAACGAATGGGGGGTCGAATCGAAGGAAGACGAGAGCCTTATTCACATGGTTTGAACCAGGACCGATGGAAAGGGTGAAGGATATTCACATGACCCGTCGGAAAAAGGGGGAAGGGGGGTTGGGGAAGGAATAAAGTATGTGTGAAAAAAAAAAACCAAAAGGGTCATACAGCCTGGAATGAGTATAAATCATAATTCTACAAATCTGATTTCGGGATTATCGATGATATTGAGGAAGCGAGGAAAAGGTCTGGGGAATATACGTGAGATGAAGGGGTAAGAAAGAGAGGTATGATGGACCATGAATTGACAGACAAGGTGAAAGGGGAAAATTGGAGATGAGGGACCAGGAAAAACTCACCCCACTGAAAATAGCTGCAAAGTCGTCGGCAGCGACGAATTCGATCTGAATGTCAGATTGCGCATCAAATAGCAAACCAGTGAATACTTCTACTCGCTTTGATAGGGACATCATGGACCGAATGGGATGATAATGCTACGAGGAGCAAAGAGAGGAAGAGATGTCGGGATGTCAAAGACTATATTCAGAAAATTAGATGAAAGGAGGAAGGGAGGAGGAGAGGAAGAAGGAATAAAGGTAAGGTGGAGGAAGGGAGGTAACGAAGCAGAGAAGGAGAAAGAAAAGAATAAACTTAAACTTACCATCCCTCTATACATATCCCTAGTCGATTTATCCAAACTGACCTCACCAACATATAAATACCTTCTATAAGGTACTACCCAAGGTTGAGATCTCATTTTTATCAAATCTTTAATTTGTTCTAATTCTATATCCACCAAAACTAATTTTTCGTTTTTTTGATCTTTCCCTTTACTCTTCTCTCTATCTTTCTCATTACCTTCCTCTCTGTCTTTCTCCATGTCTCTATCCTTCTCTTGATTTATCACCTCGTCGCTTTGCTTCCCTTCTCTAGCCTTATCTCCTGGAGTGACGTTAGATGATCTGTTGTTTGTAGTGATGGTAGATGATCCATTATTTGCAGTGACGGTAGAAGATCCATTGTTTGTAGTGACGGTAGATGGTCCATTATTTGTAGTGGCGGTAGATGATCCATTATTTGTAGTGGTGGCAGAAGATCCATTGTTTGTAGTGACAGTAGAAAATCCATTCGATAGATTCTTCAAGAACGATTCCGATCCAGATCTCACACCAACACACAAATCATGTTTCTTTTCAAAACTATTCGCAATAGAAACTTCATGTGTCCATTCTACCCAAGAAGGACAATCACCTAAAATCCCACTTGGTGGAGCCACGGTTATAGCCAAAGAAGAATTCGGTCCTAATAAAAAATTCGTCAATGTATCAAAAGCTTTTACAGGATCTGGACAACGTATTTTTTCTTTCCATGATGATTGTGTCCATTCTATTACACTTGGAATTAAATAAGCTCCCCAACCTATATCTTCTTCTCTTTTCATTCTTTCATAATCAACAGATTTATCCGATTCATCTGTTCTATTAGACCTTTCGGATCTTGTAGATGTTTTGAAAGACCTCGAATGATCACGTTCACGAGTCGATCTTGATACAGGAGTTAAACTTGGTGTTCTAGGATATGAACTAGCGTTAATCATTTCCATTATTTCTGAAAATTTCGTAGGTGAACGAAGTATTAATGTAGGTGAAAAAGTGACTAAACCACCAGTTGTCCAAATAGGTCTTAATGTCCATAAACTAGGATGTAGTTGTAAAGCAGGTCCCATTGAATAAATCAGAGTACGACGAGGTATACAGGTTTTCAATGTTGATGATCTTAAAGTACGACTTATACGATGATTACCAATTATCAATACGTCTGGTGGACTTTCAGAAGAATTTAAAGGTGAAGCTTGATTTTGTTTGAAACCATCTATTAACGTATCGTATAAAACATCGAGATCACCTTCTCTACCTGGATATTTGACTGATACTCTTCCTCGTAGAGAAGCGAGAAATTTTTGGGGGATACCATATGATAGAAGAAGTGGAGCGGGAAGTGAAGGGGGTGTCATAAGAGGTGAAGACATGTTGGGATGAAGAGGTCGAGCGGGATTTGGGATCATGGGAGAAGTTGAAGATGATGATAGTGGTGGTAAGGCAAGAAGAACGAGACAAAGTCCTATTTTCGTTCCTTGCCATGGACCATAGCCGAGGGAGTTGAAGTGCATACGGGAACCACCGACGATGACTAGGGCAATGTGATTGGATACGATAGAGTCAGGTGTAGGAGCTTCGGTGTATGTCACCCAGATCTATAACATGAGCATGAGAGTATGGTTTGCCAAGAAAAGCAGACATCGAACGAGACCAAATATACCTTCCCCTCCACACCTTGAGAGAAAATGAAATCAGAGGAAACGAAGGATGAATCGAAGTGAGAGTGACCGGGTAATCACAATAGAAGACAGATCGTATTTATGATTCGAAAGTATGTGGTATCACTCGGGATGGCGAGGAGAATAGGTAAAAAGGTGTTGAAAAATAACACTCACCTTCTCCATCTGCTCAGCCTTCACTTTCACCTCCTCCCACGCATTTTTACTGCCTCCACCTTTACTTTGAGGCTCAGTTCTGGACAATTTAGCCCATTGTAACATCTTCGCTCCAGATCCAAAAGCAGCATCTAAATATTTCCCATCCATTTCTTCAAAAATCAAATCAGATTTCTTGCCTACCATATGTTTGAAGAAAGATTCCCAATGTGCTGAACCTCTCAAAATGGATGTATCGAAGAACACATCTTCGGACGGTTTATCCCCTTGAAATGCCATACGTGCATAAGCCAACGTCTCTACTCTTCTGGATACAGTATCGGAAGTGCCTCTACTATCCAAAGGAGACAGATCACCTTGTGCAGGAGTGGCAGATCCTGAGCCTTGATGTTGTGGAGGAGGACGTTTTCTAGGATCACGAGATTGATCGTATACCCTTACTGGGTTTTGATATGGAGGTGACATATTTCCTGGATTGAAAGGAGGGGACATGGCACCTGGGAAAGAAGGTGGTATATGGTTTGGTGAAACACCTCCATATGGCATATTGGGGGATAGACCTCCAGGTGGACGTTGAGAAGTGTTAGGAGCATAAGGTGATACGCCTCCGGGCACATAGGGGGATAGATTCCCAGGAGGAGGTGGAGCATAAGGGGACATATGACCAGGAGGAGGGACATATGGTGACATACCACCGACAGGAGGGTGACCATAAGGAGAACCACCACCAGGTTGTGCGAAGCCTCCCATGGAAGGCCCAGGAGGTATATGAATAGGACCTGGAATCCGTTGTCTTGTAACGTCTTGTTGTGAAGGTAATGACGCTCCCTGTCGATATCCACCACCAGGAGCGGAAACAGGTTGTTGATCAACCCATGAAGGAGGTCGATTAGCCCATTGTCTGGCAGCCCACGGTGCTTCTGGTCTGGGTCCAGAGACTTGAGGTCCCACAGGTGGTCGAGTCGTTGCTGAAGGACCAACGGGTGGTTGATGAGCGGCCGGTTGACGGGGTACAAATGATGAGCTTCTGTTGGGTATGGTAGGAGGTCGTATGGGCGGAGGACCAGGTCTGATATTAGGATTCACCGTCTTTGGTATGGTAGGACTTTTGGTATTGGCGTTGGTGACTGTGGGACTCTTGGGAGCATCGGTGGAAGCTTTACGATCAATCTGGTGAAGTGTTTTGTCAAGCAAAGTGGGTGAAGCGTCTCGTGTCAGACGAGGTTGTTGATACCTCGGTCGTTGAGAAATGGGAACAGGACCTTTGGGTAAAGTCACAGGTTGGAATTTGAATGACGGGTCGGAGGTCTGAGTCCGTGCGACGGGTTGAGATGGTGTTTCTGATCCAGCCGGCTTCGTTGATACGCCATTCGGGACCTGGTTTTGGGCGGTAGCGGATGGAGCCTCGATGGCGGGGGGTAGAGGTGGAGGTGAAGAGGGAGGAGCTGGAGGTGAAGGAGGCTTCTCTTGTGTAACGGGGGTGGGAGCGGGAGGAGCAGTCGTAGAGACGACCACGTCTGTGGTCGAGGGTCCAGCGGGAATGTTCGTCGCATCATCGGAATCGGAATGATCTATCGACATGGATTGCGCAGAGGACACAGGTAGCGAAGGGCTGCGAGAACGTACGGCAGCAGTCGATATCGGTTCTGGGGACTGTGCAAATCGAGTTGTAACTTCCGGTTCATACTGGGGCATGGGAACGTCTGGGGGTGATGTCGCGATTGTGTCCAAGTTCGCCGAAGGAGCTTCAGTCGCAACTTGCTCCACTTGCATCCGTGATGTAGCTTCAGAAGGCTTGTCGAGTTGCACCTGAGAGGGCAGGTCGGTGGGAGGATTAGGCACGACCAAGGAGGGTTCTGGCGCATTGGCATTGCCAGCTGAAGGAGTGTGATCTCTTGATTTGCTGGTAGACTCCCTCGTAGACTCCTGAGGAACGAGTAATGGTACCGGAGTGGGTTGAGGTCGTAGGCTCGCTACTGGAGACGATGCGTCGAATATCCCAGGAACAGGTGTACCAAAGCTAGGTATCATTTGAACATCCTCATCTTGTTCTTCATCCTTTTCCTCGACCATACGTTTCTTCAATTTCCCCACACTGACTAAACGATTAGATTTCCCTTCCTTCATTTTCGAATTGATTATTCTACTTTCTTTCTTATCTTTCCCTTTTCCTTCAGAAATCTTCTGATCCTTTGATTTTCCCTCAGATACCTTTTGTTTCTTACGTGATCCCTCTGGTTTTTCCTGGGAAATGTTCGATTTCCCAGAAACAGATTCCGTTCTCTTTGTTTTCTTACTATTCACTTGTGTACTTGTCCCAGCTGACTCTTCATCATCTGAAACGAGGATCGAAGAAACCGAAGAAACAGGTGAAGGATAAGGTTGAGTAGTATGATCATCCGTACCTGTTCCTGCACCAGGTGTAGCTTCTGTTCTTTCTTTCGATTTTACTTTTGCTTTAGCTTTTGCTGCAAGTCGTTTTTTTCTCGCATAATAATCTGAATCGGCTTTAGTGATGGGTAATCCTTCAAGTTCTTTAAGACGACGACGTTTGTAAACGTTGTAATCTCTTCTAGGGTGGGCATCATGCAACCATTTCTTGAGAATCCATTTTGGAGCTTCGACGAGTTCTCCAACTGTACTTCCTTTTTTCAACTTGCCTGGCGGTTCTTTCCGACCTGGAGGGATTTTACGTCCTACAGCTGCCCAGAATCTAATGTCAGAAATGACCTATCGCCTGGATATCACTGAAAACAGATGCGACATGGACCCAGGATAAGGTCACTTTTGGTGACAGAAAAGATAGCCGTTGCCAGCATCGTAAAGAAATAGACTGAAATGTGGGAAGTGAGATGGAAGGGGGGGATGGGGAGTTTAAGCAGAAGGATGGAGAGGAAATGTTTCATCATTCGTGACTCACTCTTCTACCAATGGTATACGTCCGTCCGGTTCCACACCAAACCCACTCAGAGGTTCTTCCCTATTTGTTAGCTCGACGCTAGGTCATATGACAGGTATAGCTCACGTATCTGACATAGTCTTGAGGTAACCTTTCCACTATTTCGTCAGCTCGTTTTCCTATCTCGCCCCTCGCCTTCTTCGGGCAACGGACATAGATCCATCTTTCTCCATTTAGTGGCTGACAAGAACAGGGAATCTTAAATGCTGATGAAAGTTGTTATTCCGTTGAAGAGCATCAAAGTGCGACTATTTACGTACAAGAGGTATGATGAAAGACATACCATAACTCCATAATACTATCTCGTCAGCTTTCCCTTTCGAATTGATTCAAGATAAAAGACCTACCCATTGTACGTCGCCTCGAACACGAGTTCTACGAGTATCGCGATATTGAGCATATTTTATTGCGTCTATGTGTGAGCTTTGCGATTGCCTTCTTCATCTCATCTTTCGACGATACAAATGACCAAGTGGACAGGTACAAGCCGGATGAGTGTATTTCTCGCACGGGGTGAAACAACGCAGCGATCAACATTCAACAGACATAAGATCTTCATGTGATTCTCAGTGGGGGTCTCGCACGCATTGATAAAGGAGGTAGAGAAAAATAGGGATGAAGCACTCACCAACATCGAATTCCGCCAGACTTTCATCCACTTCAGTAGCATCACTCTCAGGTTCAGAATCTGATCCTTCTAAGTCCGATTCCTCTGTTGCTTCACCAACCTCATCATCTCCTTTGGCATTTTTAGTTGATGATCCTGCTGGGTTCCGAGGTTCAAGTTGTACTTTACGTAGTTCTGACGAAGACATGATTTCATTTGTACCCGATGTTTGAGATAGGGGTTGTTGGTGTTGTTCGAGATTGTATCGTAGGGTAGATCTCCAGTTTGGGTATGAAGATGTTGATGTGGGTCTAAGGGAGTGAGAGGATGTGTTGGTGAATGGTAGATATGTGAATAATGAGTTGGATATATGTGAATAATGAGTTGAAGATATGTATTGTAGAGTAGAGCAAAGTGATGTGGATGTATATGAGGTCTCCGAGTGGTTTCAACCGGATAAGCCGGTTTTCTTTGGAAAAACACCTGTGACGATACGAACGTTCTTGTCCTCGTCAGCGTCCGACAGGCCGACAGTCGAGGGAATGAGAAGTAAGAAGATGATAGGTTCTTTCTCACTTGCTCTGATGTATGGTGGGTATTGCTATGAAAAGGTTTCAGACAAGAAATTGTATTTCTCCGATGAGAGATGTCGTAAGCGTCCTAAGCTTACGTCGGGGTGGATTTCCTTCAGATGACAGGTCTCAGGTGGTCAGAGTTGGATTTGGTCAAGATAAAGCAAGAAAGCCACTGAGGTGCTAGTTGACAGGATATAGATTGCTTATGACGATGATAGTGTAAGGAATGAAGATATGGGGATGGAGTAAAGTAAAGATAGAGATAGAGATGAAGTGATTGACGGAGATATAGAGCGAAAAGTGGAGAAAAACCCCTGTGTGTCCTTTTGTTTATATACTTAGATGCAATGATCTGCTACTCTGTCATGCTACTATGTGCTGTATGCTGTATCGAGGCATATCACCATGGCAAGTGGGATGCATGAATGCATCATGTTCCAGTATGATCTTGTTAGAGATGATGTAGCCTAGGCCTAGTTGTTCATGATCATCATGGATAATTCATTTTGTACCATGATGGGAGATCTTTCCTAGATCCTTGATTATTCTTGATTGTCATACAAAATGATTATCTTCGGGGGCTATACACAAAACACTTCAGTTGTATTCGAGTCCAAATGATAAAGTATAGAACTAAACCAAACCGCTATAAGCCATATCTACCAAGCCTGTCCAATTCCATTCCCCTGGTTTCTCTCTCATTCCTCTCAACATCTCCCTCCTCGCTCGTCTTTCCACAGCCGCTTCTGAAGTTTCCCTATCTGGACAAACTTCCGAGCAATAAAACCTCTGTAAACCTAATACCAATAGTTGAGCTTGTGATTGTGATAACATCCAATTTGTCTGATCATCCGTCATTGTCGATGATTCAGTTCCGAGTGTCGAAGTGGATGAGGAATTTGAAAGAAGAGGACTAATCTCTCCTCTCATAAGTACCAACCCATGACTATTTGATAAATCCGTATAATGTGTTAAAACTAAATGAGGTTGTGACCATTCTCCTCTATGTTTATATTCTTCCAAAGGTGTGAATAAAATTGAAGTGATTGGTGATAATGTTAAATCCTCTGAATCTATAGGAATGTTCGTATGAGAATTAAGAATGGGAATGGGTATGGGTATGGGAGAAGAATGAAATAACCATTGTAAATAATACATGTCATATTTTTCCATTTGGATTCCATTTGTTGATTGTCTAGGAAGAGGTAATACGAATGATGGATTTTCTTTTGCTAGTGATATCATTGATTCGTAAGTTGAAATCGGGAGTGTTGCCGATAGATAAGATGATGAAAGAGTGGGATGGGTCGTATGGTATGTAGTCCATATTTTTGAGATAGATGGAGGGTCGTGTGGTGTTAGAAGGAGTAGAGGGAGGTTAAGGATTGACGAAAGAGGCTGAAGATGAGTTTATAGTCTTATGACTTATGATTTCATCTCAACTTGTCGGAATGGCGGTTTTTCGTGATGATCCACGATCCAGTGGAGACAGCCCATTGTTTGAATGAGATAAGGATACTTGAGAGAGGGTTTCAGGACTCACTTTGACACCACTCCTATCACCCTTGGTTTCTTCCCTAGACTTGACCTTCGGACCAGGTTTCGCCACGGGAGAACTCCCTTCCCTCACAATGTCATCTCTCGTCCGAGATGGCGGGGCTTCAACGGGTGGGGTTTTGACTTTAGGTATCAACTTGTTTCTCAAAGCTTGAAGATCTGTTACACCTTCCCTGATTGTCAATTCTTTTTCTGCGGCAAAATCATCTCCATCTCCATTTCCATCTCTAATTGCTCTCTCTCTCTCTAGTGAATGATGGCTCCACGCCCCAGTCAGTCCTAGACATACAAAGTTGAATGTAGGAGGAGGGTCTCAATTCTTTACCCCCAAAAAGGCGTTCCGAAAAGGCGTTATGTACATAGAACGATGTTAATGAGAAGTTCGTATTGAAAGTGGAACGAAATAAGTTAGATCAACTCACGATCTCATCTTCTCCTTCAATTTATGTCCATATTTATCTTCGTATTCTTTCTTCCCCTTCTCCACAGCTTCACGAGGAGTGATAACGTCTAAAAGACTTTCCGTCCCTAGATACCTTACATTCCTGAGGAAAGATGGTCTTGAGGTCCATGCTCGAGAAGAAACGATCAAAGTTTTTCTTGGTAACATGTCGTCTTTCCTGATAATTCTTTGGATCTTTGGGGTGCTCTGAGAATTCGGGAATAAGAGTTCTCCCTGGCCGTCGGGTAAGAAGTCTGTCTTATTTCAGTTTACTGGTTCAGAGAGCATCGATTTTGGATTGATTTGTCCAAGAAGATAGGGTAGATATATGCAAAGATGGTAGGATGTACGTAGAGATATGTGATAAGAAGAACAGAAGAAGAAAAAGTCGGTTTCTTTTTCCACTTTTTCTTCGAACCAATCATCATCATCAACTATTTCTCTTGAGCTGACTTTAACACTACTCTACTATCTTTACTCTTCATATCATCCCGTCCAAGTTCACCTCTATTGGCAAACCTGTACTTGTCCCTATCCGACAGTTCTAGTCATATCTAAAGCTGGGCTCATACCATCCAACTCCCCTTTAGTACACCATAACCACCCAAACCTCACATCTCAATGTCCTCAACTCCCCTCTTACCTACCCTCTACGCCATCCTACCTTCTTCTTCCCATACTCAAACATTAGCAAGATTATCGCTTCTCGCCATCCATGTTGAATCGTTAGACCTACAAGATGATATCTACCTAGCTATTCAACCCGTCTTACCAGGTAGAAGAACACTTCGAATTAGGACCAAACGAATCATCAAACATTTACCAAAGAAAAATCCCTCAGAGAGATTAGATATTGGAGAGATGGACGAAAGGAAAGAACAATACGAGATCGTTTATTTATCTTCACCTCTTTCAGGTAGAGAATATAGTTCTGTTAATGTTAGAGCTTGTCAAAGTTTAGATGTCGTTGGTTTTGTGGATAAAGATGAAGTTGTGGGGTTTGTCGAGGGATTAGGATTTAGGTGAGTTAAGTATTGTTTCTTCACTCCTGTATGATGTTATGTTTTCTCATGTTAACATGATTCATCGTCTGTTTTTCTATCGCAATCGTCAGATCCTACCCCTTTCATGTGCTTTTTGATCGTGAGCTGTGACAAATACCCTATGAAAAGCTGTATCATTCTTCTTGATCTTTCACCTTAAAGAAGGCTTATGATATCTTACTCATTTCCTCTCAAATAGCCAGACTATCACCTCCCCTCCCATCCTGCTTTTCTAATTTGAATAAAACCGGTACACCTGAAAAACCAATCATTTCATATCTTCAATTGAGAAAAGATATTCATAAAGACGTAAAACAGAAAACTAACATTTTCAGTCATTCTCATTCCTTCAAACAAAAAGGAACCTTATTCCACATCCCAATCCCAGGTATACCAATGACATTCCATCTTTCCGTCACTCAATTAATTCCTTTATCCTCTTCCTCTATCCATAACAATCAAGTAAACTCGGGTGGACTTACGACTCCCTCGACAGATTTCACCCTTTCGGATAATACTCAACATCCATCTTCATCATCCTCGAACCACCTTGAAGAAACACAATCATCTACCCCGATTCCACGAACATCATCTCATTCGAGTGATTCACAAATCCAATCATCTTCTCCATTAAACGATATGAACCGACAATCTTCTACTCCCATTTTCCTTCCAGCGAATCCTCCAATAGATCCAGATGATGACGACGACGATGATGATGATATTCAAATTATACAAAATCCCCAAATGGTTCAAAATCCCAAAATGAACCAACAAATCGAATTAGAAGAAGAAATACAAGAAATCCTTCCTCCTCCATCCAATACCTCTGATAACATAACAGAAGAAGCAATAGAACATACCAGACAATCTTCAGGTACATCGATAGTTTCATCAGTACATACACCCACACCAGCACCGAGGAATAGGATGGAAGGAAGGAGAACCGTTGTAGAGAAGGAATCAGAAAGAACAGAAAGAACAGAAAGAGGTGATCAGAGAGTAGGAAATGGAAATGGAAAGGGTGAGAAGAAAAAGGATCTTAATGATTATCTGATACAACTTTATCCATCTAGACCTGTTCATACTGTTTCTTCAAATCAAGAACCGGATTTACAAAGTATGATGAATCTTTTATCAGATTTGACAGGAAAATTAGATTGGTTAGAATGGGGTTCTGGGAGATGAACGAATCTTCAACCTTTTTTTCCCGAAAAATTGATCATTTGGAATGGGATAACTAGTACTTTCATTCGGGAATCTTTTCATACGATGGAATTGTACTAAGAGGAAATATCTATATGAGATCTTTGAAGATGTACAAGTGAAATATAACAAAATCGTAATGATCATACAGTACGAGTACTAGTAAGTTATGCAATAACACAAAGAGTTATATTTGTTCATTTCATGTACAAGTCCAAATGAAAGATATCTTCCTTTTGATGAATATCCAGTATCAGTTCGATATCGACATCGTCAGTGTGATTATGACTATGACTATGACTATGGTTCGTTAATCCACAAGATTGCAGGTTTAAAAACTACCTACAACTATGCCAGTTCGTACTTGGTCTTCACCGGATATTCCTAATTCAAGATGTATTTCTGTGTTCAGGTGGAATCAATTAACATGAAGAACATGAAGGACATATATGCATGATATGATATGATTTCCATATGAAAGATTTCTGAGTATATACAGATGTTTCCATATGATATAGACCGTACTCTACTCTAACGAAAGGACGACGCACATATATTTCCCCGTATATGAAATAAAGTAGAATTTGAGTATTCGTACTGGTACTGTGACGAAGGAAGGAATATTATGGTGGGAGATGTCAAAGAATAACAACATCATCATCGTCATCATCTAAAAGGATAGCATCATCTTTATCTATTCCTAATTTCCGACGTTTGGTTGTTCCTTCTTCATCAGAAGCCGGACGTTTCAACCCTTTTAATCAGCTCCATCCCGACTGGTTCAAGTTCACGATGACCACAAACTTGATTACACCTGCTTGAATGGAGACGACATCGTCAGATGTGGCCATGGGGATAGGTTCGTTGAACAGAGAGGGGATACGTGGGTATGGAAGATGAAATTGACATACCATTCGTTCCTTTTCCATCACCTTCTACCACTTGATGTTGTTTCCCGTTCATACCTTCGGAATTATCCAGATTATCTGACGGTTTGATGGAGTGTTCCCCGTTGGAACGTAAAGGAGCAGAAACGATTTCCACCCCTAGATCTGATTCAGAGTCTGATTCGGCGTGTTCTTCTCTGAGGACTGGTCGAAGAGTGAGGGAAGGAGGTGGATTGGGAAGGATGAAGGAATCTTGTGAATTTGGTGATCTGTGATTTTAGTCGGGTCCCCAAGTCATATGTTCAGACTTGATGGAGGGGAAAGCGGCAGTAAGACGTATTTGATGGTGTCAACAACATGAACTGGGCATTTGGAACGGTTGAGACAATATGGTCGAAGATGTCACTACATGGTTGAAGAGTATGGCTTTAGATGTGGCGCGAGGGGTTGATGCTCCAAGTGTGCGTGTGTGTGTGAGAGAGAGAGAGACAGAGAGAGATATGACTAGAAAAACAAAAACTCACAATTCCACCAAACAAAAATGAACAGGTCTATAAACCCCATCTTCATCCTCAACTGTAATCATCTTTCCTCTTGATAATCCTAAATCTTCAAATGTACGTTCATGATTATCTTCAAAATCAGGATCAGCTAAGACCCTTCCTCCTTCCATGATTATCCAATTAATCTCTTCTTCATCTCCCTCATCTCCAACTTTACTCTCTTTCCCATTTTGTTGAAGAAAAGCACTCCTCAACCAATCTTTGACCGCTTTATTCACAAACTCTCCTAATGTACATCTCCTCACATCCACTCCAAACTTTACATATACATCTCTGCATACCGCACATTTCTCATTGGGGTCCGAAGGTTTTTCAGGTCTCAAAGGTCTCATGGCGTCCGCTCGAAGCCATACGTTATTACTCTTGTCTAAATTCTTCGAAAGAACGTTGAGAGCTTGCATGACGATCAAACCGGCTACGATGGCGTTGGTGGTGGCTATAGCGGGGATGATGTTTCCTGCCATTTCTTTGATTTGGAATCGAGTTCGAGTGGGGATACCATAAGCTATGGAACGGAGGTTGGATGTTGAGACTACAAAGTCGAGAGTGTCATCATCGTCTTTATCAAAAGATAATGGAATGGATGGTGCAGCGATGATACGAGTGGTGAGACGACGACAACTGGACGTAGGTGAGCGTTCCATTTCTTCATCACATCAGATATGGCTCAATTTGTTTCAACTACCTAAGCTGCGCTTCATTGCCTTGGCTGCTTATTTCTCAAAGAAAAGTTGGAAAGAGCATGAGATGTAAGGTATCACGTACCTGTCAATGAACAAATCCAAATTATCTTTCACAGATAATTCCCTTTGATCTTTCAATCCGCTTGATGTCTCTTTCGCGGTAGCCGAACCATTCGTTCCGTTCTCTCCGTTGGCCTTGCCTTTCGTCCTAGGACCCCCATTCTGTACTCCCGAAGGAATAGCAACCCGTAAAGGTGGCACGACAAACTCTCCTGTTTTGATCATTTCCATTTCTAAAGCTACCGGCTTGACCCTTCCCGCGACTTTCCACATATCTTCCATCTTCAACAACCTCTCGATATCTTCTTTGAACACCTTTCGGAACACACTCTCCGGACCATCTTGCTCCCCTAAACTTCTACGAACTTCTCTAAACGCCGCAGCTTCCTTTTTGAGATTATCCACTTCATTGGCATTCTCCCCTTGAGCTTTGGCGCGTTCTAATTCTTCCTCTTCTCCAGCTTCGTCGTCTTCCCCAAAGAGCTTATTGAAGAGGTAGCTTTTAGCCCAAGCGATACAATGGATGGGTTCTGAAGGAGTGGCACGGATGGTACAAACTGGGAACGATTTTGGTACAGGTTTAGATGTACAGTCAAAACATTCAGTTTTGTCCTATCACGTCAGCCATAAAAATTCATGATTCCCTGGACGCCCTTACCCCACTTCCTTCCCTTTTACAAGTGAGACGGGAGAATCTGCGGAATGTTGAGAAATGATCATAGGAGGTAATAGGTGGATTGAGAGGAAAAAAGAAAACTCACTTTGATGATAGGAGTTACCTGACCAGCATAACCAGCCGTACCAGATTCAATCAACGGTACACCTGCCGCTTGACATAATCTATTGACATGTCTCCTAGCGTCCATATTGTCCAAAGCGTTCATGACTAAACCGAACGACTGGATCCATTCCAGATCATTTTGACCCTCTTTCACATTCCCATGTCTAGCGTGGATCTTGATCCCGGAAGACGGGTTGAAATGTTTTGCAGAGACAGCAGCGACGAGAGCTTTAGACTTGGAGATGTCAGGTTTGCGGAAGAGGAATTGTCTGTTGAGGTTGGAGAGGTCGATGGTGTCCAGGTCGATCTGCAGGTTAGTTATAGATAGCTATTTCCTTGAGAGCACCTATGTAAAGCCTTTGGTGATAATCCGTGAACGGACGTAGCTCGCACGTACACAAAGGATCTCATCATGGAGGGGTGAGAGGGCTTACGAGTGGAAGTGTAGAAAGCAGCGTTGTCCGGTGTGCATAGGAGTGTCGAGAGAGGAAGAAGAAATCAATGAGAGGTAAGAAAGAACAGAGAACTGACGATTTCGATATTGGCAAAACCGACCAAGACAAGATTCTTCACTTTACATCAGCTCAGCCAAAAAGACCTGGAGGATGGAATACTAACATAGCTCACACCCTATCCCTCCAGCTCCCACGACCAACACCGGAGTTTCTCTGAGCTTGTTATACAAATCTGAACCTAGGAGCGCTTGAACATGGGATGAGCGGGTCATATCGTGAGAAGTCTTGTTGGCTGAGAGTTGAAGTGAGAGCGAGATGGTTGAGATGTGGTGGACATGACGACGGGATAAATCGAGATAAAATGGGGTGAAATAAATTGCGACGAAAACTTGATCAAAAGTGGGCTTGATAAGGTCCAACTGCGACTCGAACGTCGGCTCTTCTCCATCTGTTTGTTCCACTTTTTACTCGTCATTCACAGTCTTCCCCGACACAACAAGACAAAAACTTTTCTTCTTCCCGCATTCATTTCCTCCATTACTGCTTTGAGTCGTAAAAGGTCATCCGCCAGGTGGAGGTAGTCCACTATGGCCCCTGTGAGTCCTTTCAAAGTTGGTCAGCGCTGATGTTAGAAAATATGTCCTCTCTGTCGCTCCACAGGTCCCTTCGAGACAAACCTCAGCGCAGGGACAACAATGTGGGTGTCTCTCTCATCTATCTATTTCCTCTCACATTCCAATGCCCGGTCTTTTTGATGCTCTGTTCTTCAGTGGCGTGTGTATGGAGCTGTGAATGCTCCAACAAAGAATATGATAGCTCACTCGCAGATGCGGAAGTTGCTATACCATCGTAGAACAGGGTATCCTCGTCTCTGAAATTGGGTTTGGTGAAAGTGCCGGTGGGAGGGTACATGTGCAAGGACAGTTCGTTTCTCGTTTTGCAAGTGAGTACCGTCCATCTCGCAGGTCACCATGCCCTTCTCGCTTCAAATTCAAAGAGAACTTTGTCTTGGGCATTGCTGATGATGGGAAAGTCATATGACTTGGCTGACATACAGCCGGTATAGCTGGTATCAGAGGTGCTTCTTCTGCCTCTTCGGAGAAGGCCAAACAGGATGGTATGTTTGACTTTCACTTCTATATCTTGACTCATTCCTGTATCCCTCATCCGCTCAGCCGTCCCTTCTCGTCTGGCATCTCTCTCATATGGATGTGTCGGGGCACCTCCGCATCAGTCCACCCTTTCAGTTGCGCGTCCGGCTTTGGCTCGAAGGGTCCCTCGAATCGACAAAGTGGAGTCACAAATACAGAAAGGCCATTGACTGATCCCCAGGCCAAGCCAAAGTCAAAAGCGTAGGCGACGCTATGAACATCGAACCCCATATCATTCGGGGAGCACAAAGATGGTATGGTCTAGCTGTTGATAATCGGTTCAATCGAGGTCGGAGGATAGAATACATCGTGGCTAGCTGCCTGTATCTTCAATGCAGGATGAAGAAGGATCCTCATATGTTGATTGATTTTTCCGAGCGTCTGACTGTGGGTCGTGTTCCTCATTTTACCTCTCATACCTCCTGAAGCCCATACCTCCACTCGCTCCCTGTCTTGTTCCTTCAGCTAGACCTTTTGCTCTGAAAACCACCATCCCTCACAGCGATCATATTCTATCTGCCGTCCTGACCTCTCATGATGTACAAGACGTACGTGCCGACTCGACTCCCCGTTGACCCCAGATAAACGTCTATGAACTCGGTGGTACTTACCTCAAACTCCGCTCCATCCTATCCCTGACCGAGACCATGCCTGAAGTCGATCCAGCCATTTACAATCTTCGCTTCGCCAACCGACTTTCCTTCGGAGCTCCCGCGGTCGTTCATGCCATCGCTGCGGACGCTTCCAAGCTCATCCGACGTTTTGCGGCCGATTGGATGACACAAGGACGTCGACCTGCTGGTTTATGTGGTGCATGTCTTATCATCGCCGCGCGGATGCACGATTTTCTCCGGACTCCGGACGAAGTTGCTCAGGTGGTCAAAGTGGCACCCATAACGATCCACCGAAGGTTGCGAGAGTTCGCTCAGACCAGCATTGCCAAGAAGACAGTGGAGGAATGGCGAAATATGACCGAAGAGGATTTGTTACATGATACGGAGGATGTACCTCCTGTGGTCAAAAAGCAACGGGAGCAAGCTCGAAAATTGGCAGAGAAAGTGAAGCGAGAAACAGCTATGATGGGACAAGAAGAATCTTCTCCTCCACTTGAAGAGCTGGACCCCCAGGATGACGATGATATGACGGATCCACAGGGAGAGGGCAGTACGAGACGAAGAGGTAAAGAAAGGATGACGGAAGAAGAATTAGATATGGGAGAAGTAATTCGCGAAGTAGCAGAGAATTACGGTTTGGACGTTTTCGAAGGTGAAGAAATTGAAGATCCTAATCTTGAAGAGATGGGACCTACAGAATACACAAAAGAAGTGGATGCCGCAAGAGACGATCCCGATCAAGCTAAATCTGAAAGAAAGAGAGACCAACACGCTTTTCGTCGATCTATCCCTTCTTCATTCTCCACCACAGCAGTTGATTCCGATCCGACACAATCGACATTGGTAGAATACGATGCTTTGGGTTTGGAAGATAAAGAAGAAGATTTACAAGAATATGATGAAGATGAAAAAGAAGATGATGATGAGAAAGAAGAAGGTCAAGAGAATGGTAAAAGAAATAATAAAAAGAAAAATTTCGATGAATGGGAAGATGAAGAAGCCACCATGATTTTCCTTGAAAAAACATATTTCTCAGAAGAAGCTAGACTCTTAGCTGTCACTGGAACGGATATCAGAGAAAGGATAAAAAGTTGGTTGAGAGGTAGAGAACCTAAGGATGTAGTAATGGAAATGAGAACCATTGAGAATGCTTATAGGAAAAGAGCAAAGGGAGCTAAAGTTAAAGAAGATGTATTTGAGGATATCGATGATGAGGAATTGGATAAGTATTGGATTATGGATGATCATGAGAGGGATACAAGGGCAAGGATGTGGTTGAGTAGTAATGGAAAATGGTTGGAGGAGGAGAAAAGTGAGTCAAAATTTCTCTTTTACACTTTCCAACATCTTCCAATAACCCTTCTGTTTGTTCACCGTATATTCGGTTTTAGTCACTCCTCTCCCTACAGTTCATTCTACCGTCAATATTGCTGGAATAATTGTTTGCGACCGTCACTTTTCAGAGAGCTAGGTTTCTCCTATGGTAATCATTGTCGAACATTATCTGGTTCAAGTGGACTTATCACATGTTCCAAGCGATGTGATCATCTACAAAGTGACCGTCCGGGGAGACGTCAAGGGACGTTGTTTGTCGAGATCTGACGTGACAGCTCGACAAGAGAAAAAAGCGTTAGAAGAGAAACGTAAAGGTGAATCTGGACGTCCCAAGCCGAAGGTAAATTCAATTTCCCTCACACTGGATAACGTCTTTCCTTTCTTTCATCTTATCTCTCACTCCTAAAGTCTACCTTCCTATGATGTCCGGAAGATCGTTCTGTGACACCTCTCATTCTTTTCTTTCATCTCCGTGACCAAACCACATCACCCCTAGACTCTTTTGACTACTCATGACCTCAAATAACCACATAATGACCCTTCTGAAAGAACGACCTCATCACACTCTTTTCCCATCTCACCCAAATGTTATCACTTCCCAATCTTCTCCCTCATCTTAAATTCTCATCCTTCCTGATCATAGCCATATACTATACGATCACTCTAAAGATATCCGGATCGATAGAAAACTCGCTTGACTGACTTCCCAGACCAAACGTAAACGTCCAACAGCAAGACAAAAACCATTCACAACAGCCAGAGAAGCCATCACAACTTTAGCTATCGATAAGAAATTTTCTTCTAGGGTCAATTATGACGCACTGGAATCAGCTGTAGAAAAAGTTGATAGTGAATTAGTGATGTTTGATGATAAAGAAGATGAAGGTGAGAAATATGATGACGATGATGATGATGGTAAGTATGACGATGGTGAGAAAGATGATGGTGATGATGAGGAGGAGGAGGAGTGGGGAGGAAAAAGGAGAAGGAATGGAGTGGTGGCTTTTAATGTTACTGATTATGGAGGTCAAGCTAGGGAAAGAAGGGAACGATAAGTCGGTATTTGGGTATTTCGTATTTGGGTATTTGGGTCTCTGGGTGGGAATATTTGAAGTATTTGGGTAAAAGTTGGTCTACAGTATGTTTCATAGAAATTTACTTATCAAGGACGCTTTGGTGAGATACTGTATGAATAGTAAGAGTAGAGTATTAGTGAGGTTGTTTTCCTTCATGCGTCATATTACTCACCACGATTTCTATCAATATGACTTATATCAGCTAAACTTGAGCTTTGTTAATCAAATCATCAGAAAGGTAAATCCGCCCTCATTGTTGGATTTATCAACTCACAGTCTCACATATGATTCTTTATAGTGTACGAGTAATTGAGTCTACAAAAATCAGGTCGTTAAGATAAAAAGAGAGGTAACATAGAGGTTCGACGTTTCTTCAGATATTTACTCAGACAAGACATTTGGTCTGATGAGATCTCATACTAGTGAATTTGGTATAATTCAAATGATGGTTGTTGCATGTTGCATGTATATGATATTATATGTCAAACAAGAAACAATGACATACAACTTTACTACTCTGTTCTTTTTCTCTTCTTCCTTCTCAAGAGCTAATACCCCATATTCGATATCCCACTTCCAACCCTTGTATCCTACATGTCACTCGATCCCTTCTATCTTTCATAAATTCGTTCAAAAACGTTAAAACGATGAAACGATGCAAGCATCATTCGACCAAAGTTAACTCCTTAGTTCGATGTTTAGCATATACATCTTTGTATTTCTCCCATATCCTACTATTAGCACCGTCATTTTCACACTGACCATGTGTGAGGAGACAGAGTGACAGGATGGTGAGGAAGAGAAGAGCAGCGGTAAAGAGTGGGCAGGTTTGAAGAGAAGAGAGGATAGAAGATAAGAGAGGGGAGGGGAGAAGGGGAGAAGGGGAGAAGGGGAGAAAGGACAAACCGCATGAGTTCATCAATATACAAACGTTGATATTCCTCTACCATCTCATGTGGTGGATCAGGATGTTGTTTCACTTCTATGTGTTGACCAACTGATCGTAAGTCCATTTTGCCTGTCGCATTCGGGTGCGGGGGGAATGATCCGACAAGAGCTGCTAATGTCGTCTGCAATAGGTACGGAGGGATGAAAGAAAGGTAGGAGAAGACAAGATGAATAGACTGACCAACAACTACTATTGGATGACGAAATGGCTTGTAGTGTCAGTAAGGCCTGAACAATTTCAGGTTGAACACACCATGAGACCATAATTATCTGATTGTGTCAGCGAGGTAAATTACAACCATTACCGAAAACAATTTCCACTTTTGACAAGTATGAGACTGGTGGTTTTAATGTCAAACCATACGCGATACGAAAGATGAGGGATAAAATGGAAGAGGATGAGGAAGAGGAAGCGGTGCGAAGGAAAAGTTGAGAAGATGGTACAACGTACAATTAAACAAACCACGTCCGTAAAACAAAGGTAAAGTGAACCCGAATTTCTTTTGAAACTTTCTTTGTAATTTATACAACATTGAAGTTTTGTCGTTTCCTGTCCCACTACCATTTGAGCCTTCATTTCAACCGGAAAGATGATTTTGAGTTACTCACAGCTGTTCATATATCTTCTACGTCAGTTACATTCCATCTCTACATTATCATCATGATTATATATCAATATGGACAGTGATAAAGATGAACATTAATCCCAGAAGTATGAAACGTCAGATGGATAGGAGATATAACACAGGGAAGAGGGATAAGGTCAGAACCCACATCATTCTCTCCAAAACTAAACACTGGCACTAAACCCGCTCCTTGCTTAATGGCGATTTTTATAAATCCATATCGTTTTTTCAATGTCAAATCCGCTGTTCCCGGATGAGCGGAAAGAGATTCTGCGGCGCCACCGACAACTATGGCGATGGCTGTACCGGGTCCTTTGGAAAGTATGTTTGCGCACGCGGCTTTGGAAACAGAGGCAACTCCGTGTAACATTAAGATATCGCGGTAAAATGGGACTTTGAAGTTGGATTCTGTTTGGTCATTGACTACTCCCGACACTCATATTCACGACTCGTCAACTATAATACCACTGGAATCTGATTGTATTGAGAAGCGAGATTCAAAATTAGTGCACAACGGGATAGCCGTGCGGCTCATGTAGGGAAGAGTAGCTGGATTTGTTCATACTGACTTGAGAATTGCGAAAAATGCCAAGCAGGGGGAGAACATACCTAGAGTTAAAAGATGTGGGGTGATACCTGGGAAATACTCTGAAAATCTCGTTGCATCCGTTCCGAAAGTCGCGAATGCACCCCTGAGAGTAAGCTCGATCGCAAGATGCGATAAATGGAGAATTCACATGCCGATAATGCCGTGAGGATGATAGCCAAAAAGGTATGGCCGTGTAGGGGGCAATTGAGCTTCTTGGACGATGCTACAGGGATAATATTCTATTCTTCAGCATCACGTTCACCTTCTCTTGGTCTGATGAACGAAAATCAACCACCGGTAGAAATCCACACACACACACACACCCTACTTGACGAACGAACCCAATCGTCGAGTACAGACAGGTATCAAGTTGTGCAAGAGCTGACTGGATGGTCATATAGTGTGGTTCCACTCCACAAAGCGGAGACAGAAGTCATAGAACAACGTAGAGGACGACGCAGAAATATAAATGACATGACGCACGGGCAAAATAATTCCATATTTTAGCACCTCGTGCCCATTTCTTTGGTCTTCCACCATGATTCGGAGCAGAGTCGAATTGTACCCATATGAGATATGGAATGATTATTGGCCATGTTATAGGGACGGACCTGATTGTTAGTTTTGTGTCTTCGATTTCCATCGGTGTCCATTCGATGAGAATATGCTTGATGAGAACAAGAGAGTATCTTTCACTTCCTCCATAGGCCGTTCATTGAGAAGATGCCAGATCAAAGAGAAAGTATGTCTTCTTTTTGATCATGGCCCACTCAATGAGAAAGTGCGAGATAGGAGGGGAAAGAGGAACGTACATGATTGACCGAAGGGAAATTGAGTGAGAAAGAGGGGTTTGATACTTACATCAGGAGAAGGAAAGAGACGAGACATAAGAGAGGTAATAAAGCCCAGAGAAGTACAGCGGTAGTTTGAAGTCTTCTATGTGGTGGTATGTTTAATGGGGCGAATCTGTCTTTAGTGATGTATCTCTATCAATTCAAATCCTATACTTTCAATTCTTCTTTTCCTCTTCCTATCCAAGATGATTATATATCTCATGCTCGTCCATCATACATGAATACTCTCTCTCTCTCTCTCGGTATCGATCCTCCCATGATCACACACTCTTTAATTCCCCATTATCACTTTCTCAGCTTAAAGACAATAACCTAATCCAGATCTTGATGTACCGACCTATCTTCCCATAAGATCAAAATTACATGATCCGATAGAACCCACAAATATCTGAACAGTATCTAAACTGGACAAACAAATAGGGAGTAAGAACAAAGATGGTCAAAGAACAAAGAGGGTTAAAGAATAAAGAAGAGAAAAACTCACTTGATTTCAACACCTTTACTTATCCTCTCGCTTAATTCCTGTAATTTCTGTCTATCTAATAAAGGACTTCTTAATCTTTTCTTCCTCGACTCTTTCTCTTCTTTCACTTCATATCCCACCTTCATCTTCCCTTGTCCATCTTCATATCCATTTACATTCCCAGTTCCGATCCCTTTTCCCTTTCCGGTTCCTTTTCTACTTATAACGGACCAAGAACTTAACCAACTTTTTTTACCTTTTGGACTATTCTTCGATCCTACCCCTTTCCTAAACTTATCATCGATTCCAATTCCCATTCTGTAAGAACTGGTTCCTGACGAGCTCTCTGCATTTGACGTAATGTCCATCGTAGATGTTTCGCTCGTAACGGATGATGATGGATCTTTTCTTTGAGACACTTGTTCGATCTGTTTGGAAGATGAAGAGGAGGGATCATCGAACTTGATTGGGAATACCGATGGATCGGTTGGAGGTTGAAGTGAGTTCGAGGGATGGGATGATAAAGTCGAATCTGGGTCTTTTAAAGTTTGACGGGATGTTCTATTCCTTAATGAGTATGTGGGTCCTGGGGACATTGTGATGAATGAGGTAAGATAGAGGAATGCAGTAAGGGAGTAGGAAGAAAGAGGTGTACGAGTAAAGGTTGTCGATGACGTTTTTTCACAGTGACATGTGCATGTGGCAGTGTGGCATCTCTACTGCATCTCTATAAATCTACTCTACAAATACCGTATATCCTCTACCTCTCCAGCCTACCAATAATCACCCAGATGGGTGTATAGGAATAAGATAACATGGTAAACAAACGTTCAAATATCAAAGATGCAATGAAGATGAATTGAAATTGAGGTTGGAAAAGAGACGACCCATCCTACATTTGAGAAGATGATGGAAAAACACATAAAACCCCCTACAAAGGTCTAGCTTTCACACCTAAACAAACAATAGTCAAAGCTACACCAGCTAAAACAACGATACCAAAAACACCTTCTATACTTTCTAAATAAGCTTGACGAGCTTGTATAGCCGTCCATTCGTTTAAATGAGGTATGACACTAGTAGGTTGTTCTATTATCTCATGAATCAATTTCATCCCTTCTCCCGAAGGTATTCCCGAAAGACGAGTAGTTAAAGAAGAGAGTAAGATGGATTGTTGTATAGCTGCTGATACTGCTACACCTAATACTTGACCTAGAGCTCGGAAAAGGTATAAAGCTGACATTGCCATTGACATTTCAGCGGGCTGAACGTTAGCGTGATTCACTCTACGAGTACTTTCGCCCTCCATTTGATCTGCAGTAACCTCCCTTCTTGGCCGAAGACGGTCGAGAAGACTTTCAACTGAATATAAAATACGAATCAAGAAATGGGAATGAACGTCAGATATGAAGGCTCAGACTTACATCCACACATGCGACCAAAGATGCTATATTGTTAGTTGCTTATACTGAGAAGGTAGGGTAAGATACGTACTTAATAAACTAGTCATCACCGCTCCTACTCCAGATGCCCCGACAGCCATTTCGATCGATAATCTGATGAAACCAGTGTCGATTCTCCAAAGAAGAACCACTCCTAGAGCTTGTACCCAGGGTAAGAAACTCCTACACTGGTCAGTATGTCTTCCAATGATGTCTACCATTTGTGTACAAGACGAAGGAACATAATGTGGACGGACATAAACGAAGAATAAACTGACATGACAACTTGAAACTTTTTATACTCTGCGAAACGCTTCCATGTCAGTGGCGATCTTTATCATAGATATCTACGAGCATGTGGAATGAAAGGGTTAAGGGAGTATGCTCTTTGACATTGCAGAAAGGGAAAGAGATAATCGTCAAGAACTCACTCGCATATGCCATCCAGCATACAAAGAAGCTAGAGGACCCATGACGGAAGAAGGAAGTAATGCTAAACCCGTTCTCGACCCATCGAAATCTCTCGCTACGTGTAGGTAGACAGGGTACATATAATACTACGGGTCAGCGTGCTTTCCTCTTCAAACGGTATGTTAAAGATCTTGTTCTTGCCCTTCTCATCTCCCTCCTTCAAAGAAGCCGTCTCCTCATGTGATTTCTCCTGTGTCATAGTTGGCAGTGATTGAGAGCATGTAATGACATGCTATGGAGTGACAATTGTTTCAATGAGAAGACCAAAGTATTGGGTATCTGATGAGGTGTATCATACTCACTCGGGCATAATTACAAGCTGTCAACAGAACAAATCCTCCCATTACCAAACTCGGTTGTCCCTTGGTCAACAAACCCAATGGTAAGATCGGTTCATTCACTCGACTTTCGATCCATATAAACAAAGGTGTTGTGATCCCACAAATCCCGACGAGACTTGAGACGAGGGGATGTCTGAATGGATATCCGGAAGAAGTTGTGAGTGATGATGATATACTTATTGATGATATCTGAGATCAGCTATGAGATCTTGGGATCAAAAGTCTCATCTCTATGATGTGATGTACGACGGTGATACTGTAAGATCTCACTGAAAATACTTGTACCAATACCAATAACGAGGTCATTCCGAAGTGGGTAGTGTTTCACTATTTGGATCGAACCAAGGTCTTTCAATCATTGAAGAAGAAAACGGTGATCCTGACAGAGCTTCATATTCTTGAAACCATGAAACCGAGTATCGTCGAATGTTAAATGGAGAGTACCCGTCACAGTGGGAAGGATGGTTCACAGTAAGGATATCAGAAGGAATATCAAACTTACCGCTATGACAAGAACTAAACAACCCCACCAATCAATCCTCCTCAATTTCTCCCAAGTCCCATCTCCTTCTTTATGATGAACGACATGTGAAGGTGGTACTTGTACTTTGAAAGCTACTAAAAGAGTAGCGAAAATTATAGGTGGTATCTGAATCCAAAAGGCGGATCTCCAGCCGAACCTATCGGCCATAGCTCCTCCCATGACAGAACCAGCAGCAGCGCCTGCTCCCTGTTTGTTAGAAGTGTCATCTTAGTCTCTCTTCAATACCCCCTCCTCGTGCCACTCCGGTCGACTTGACATGTCCCACCACCACCAGGGATATCGCTTCCTGTGGTTCACATTTAGTGACGCCCTGTGGCATATTTTCCGAAGAGAAGGCACAATTTTGGTCCGATAGGCGCAGAAGAAGGCACAGTGCTGTGAAACTTGGAATGATAAAGGTCATATAGTTGACCAAACGAGCCGATGAGATTTGGGTAGAAAGGGAACGACTTTGAGAGGCGAGGTAAGAGGGAGACTCACAAACAATAGATTCAAACCACCTTGATATAAACCCCTATCGGCAGTCGATACTAAATCAGAGACGATGATAGCCTGCACTCAGTAACTCGTTTTCGTTCGTTTCCTTCTGACCACACTGGTCTTCCTTTGACACACCCTGAGCTTCAATCTGCCCCAGCTTGAACTGGCATGCAGCATGAAGCCTCCGGACACCGATATGACACAGGTTTTACAAGCTTCTATGATTCGAATAGGGAAGAAGATGTGAGTCTGTGAAACGAACGTGTTTGTAGGGAAAGGAAAGAAACGCACGGTAACTGTTAATAACCCTCCTGATCCTGCACCCGCAATGACCCGTGCGAAGAGTATGAGTGACATTGAAGGTGCTACAGCACAAAGTACTGTACCGACTGATGATTAGATTAGTCTTATTGTCCATATACAATATATATTACTGGATTCGCTTTGTGGGAACATCATCAAACAGGAAGTTCAAAGAAGATTATTGGATTGAGAAGTAACAGAAAATCATAGAGGTGAGATGAAACGACTTACTGAAAAACAACCCTAAAGCAAGATACATAGCACCTTTTCTTCCCAATACTTGAGATAATCGACCATAAAGAGGTGTCATAGCTGCTAAACCTAGTAAGAAAGCAGTTCCGAGCCATGATGACTGATTATTAGTCTTCTGAACTTGTTTTCATCTCTTCATTCCTTATTTTCTTCTCCTATGACCTCGTTTTTACATGGACTTGCGACTTCTCTTCGATCGGTCATCGTCCTCGATGGACTTCACAGGTTGTTTTGAGCTCCTACGCGGAAGTACAGACCCCACCAGAAATGACGGAGGGGGTGTAATGACTTGGCTTGTGCAGTGAGAGAGTGGAGTAGGCGAATGATGTAATCGTGAAAGTGATAAGAGCCCAGAAGAAGTCGAAAGATGTGTGGAGATTGATGTGTTTGGAGAGAAGATGAACAGAGGAAGAAGAAAGAAACGCACCAAAGATCCTTGATGGAAATACGACCCAATGTCCACTTGTATATTAGCCACTATTGTAGAGCTCAAAGAAGAGCAGAATATTCTGTATCGTCAGTCTTCTCTCTCAGGATCCCTCGTGATACATCGTTTCTTCGAAGAATCTTGACACGGGGAAGTAAATTGAGACAGAATGAAGATGATATACGAGTACAGCGCATAGCTGCGGAGTCTCTCTGATTTAGGGCGAATGTGAAGTCTCGAAGACAAGAATGAGAGAAGGAATATGTCAAGATGGATGAGATGATTACTCGTACTCGGTAACTCACGTAGTAGCTAATCCAAGAAACATGACCCAAATCTCTTTGAAAGGTTTATATCTTTGCTTCCCCTCTTCTCTCGTCCGACTTGTAGATCGTGCTGATTCTCCTCTATCCGAGTCGGAATCTAAGTGTATCAGTCCTCCTCTCTTATTCTCACACCGGAAACTCGAGAAGAACACGGAATACAAAGCCCAGAAACCCTCCACCTACAAGACGAATTTACTACCCGGAAAGCCAAAAGGCCAAGCAGACTAGTAATGGCAGAAGTGAAGTGACATAAAAGTCAGACAAACAAATGGTGGACGAAATCAATTGGGAAATCAACTATACTAATGGTGAGAAAATCAGAAAAATCAGAAAGACGAATGGCGATCATAGTGATAGAAGTACGAGTAAGAGACACTAACCAGATTCTTCCAAATCACTCAAACTTTCTTCTTCACCACCCATAGCTCTTACCCCAGATTCAGCATTGATATCCTTCGTACTGGCCGTAGCTCCATATGTAGCAGCTGTCACAGTTTCTGATAAAGCGGATAAAGCTGATATGGTGCGGTAAAGAGTTGATTGTTCTTCCGTTATTTTGTTTTGTCCTTGTGAAGATGTATGAGGTAATAGAGGTAGACGTTCGTTTGTTGAGGTATCGTGATTGGATGAGGTATGATGGTTTGGTGAGGCTGAAGAACGGTTTGAAGTTGTCTGGGTAGGTTGGGCAGGGGTGGGTGGTTGGGTAGGGTCGGAGGGTTGGGCAGGAGTGGAAGGTTGGGCAGGGGTCGAAGCTTGTGTGAGGATGAGGGTTGAGGTACTGGAAGATTCTGAGATGGGATGACTGTTTGACATGTTGTTTTTAAAGGAGCTCAATGAAAGAAGATGGAAAGAGATGAGTGCGAGTTAGGATGGATGAGAGAGGAGGGATGATGAGGATGTATAAGATGGTGTAGGCTAGAAGTATCGAGTAGTTTGAAAAGAGTGATTTAGATGATGATGACTCGGAACAACCCGATGGAAGATGACCA